CCCTCTAAGCGGCAAAGCCATATATATTTAAGGCCTGGAATATTTTTTGCGATATCTGTAAGATTGTATATATTAAAATATGTCAAAGAAATTAAGGCAATATATCAAAAGTACACAAATCCAGGTATGAAATACAAAGAGAGTTTTTTACATTAAAATCAAAAAAATAATTTGTTCTCATAGTAGTTTTAGGAAATTTGTGCTTTCTTAGCAAAAACCATGGTCGCTCAGAGGGTTTAAGTGTTAAAAAGAATAGCAAACAAAAATATGAAACAACTACTATTCAAAGTATGGTTGAACTTGGATATTTTACTGAAATCATCCACTTCTATAAAATCTGAATATTAGGAGGTTTCCAGAATTAATATTCATGGTCAAACATTACACCAAATATGTAATCAAGTAATGCTCGCACTAAACTCTATTTTCAATGATGTTATTAATGCAGAACTTGAACACATCGTAATGCAAATTGAGTATTGTTCAGTGATCAGCCAACTTTCATTGCCTTTCCCACTCCTAGGAGTGTAAAAGCATGCAGAGCTGCATCAGAGGTATATGTTCTGGAGTGTTTCATGTACCAGGAAGCTTCAAGGTAAAATAATTACAGTTTTGGCTGAAGTATCATAGAACTATTTGGAAACAATGACAGTTCTCAATATTTCATAGACTACTGATGCATACTATATGATAAAATGGTCCAGTGATTTAACAGGGTTCATAACCATATTTTAGTTAAAAAAATAAGCACCTATAAGCACTTTTGGTAAAATCCTAGTATACGGTGCAGCCTTGGCACGACTTTGAAAATTATTGCCAACACCAAAAATGATCCAAAGAACGTCTATAAGTCGCCAAAAGTAGCCAAAAATTATCCAAAGAACGTCTATAAGTCGCCATCATAAAGTCGCCAAAAGTAGCCAAATCCCGTGTGCACTGGATATTAGGATTAAACCGCACTTTTCAAGCACATTTTAAGAAAAAAAATAAGCACCTGTCTAATTACATTATACACAACTGCATAACCTTAAAAATAAAACTTGTAATTTAAAATATGAGAAATGCAGTATTTATTAAGAGAGAAAAAACATTACCTCAACAACCATGGAAAATAATACTTTTTTTTTTTTTTTTTTTTTTTTTTAATTTTTAAATAACAGTTCAATTTACAGAACTAGTTTACAATGAGAGAAAAAAAACTATGCAGAACTAAACTATATTACAAGATTTAATGATGAAATTTCAGTTCAAAATAGAGAAAATAAATAATAATAAGGCATATTTATCATATTCGCTTGGAACCTAAAAATAAATACAATTTATTTTTCCACTCATATTGATATTTAAATAATTTAAATCTAAATTCTGAACATTTTCTAAATTTTCATCATATATCAGTTTTCCCTTAACAGATATTACAAGCAAAGTAATCTAAGTAAAAAAGAGGAACATTTCTGAAATCAGAAGGCAGAAATTTGCTTCATGCAGTCATCCTTTAACAGTAAAAGCTTAACTAACCCGCATACTTGGAAATTGGCGAATATTCAGACAGTCAAGCGTAACTTGAAAAAGAGGAGCGGAGGGTAGACTGTAGCCGCTCTTTAGATTTTTCCGCTAAATAAGTGCTTTTGACATTTCGATATGTGCATCATATGAAAATAAACCAATGGAACTGAAAAATATTCTGCTTAGCAAGCACAGTAAAACTCTTTTAGGTGTTCATAAACAAATCTCGGACAGAACATCCAAATTAATTATCTCTGCGAAATATTGGAAATGTTATTGCGCAATACGTGTGCCGTAATTCTTCTCTACGTGATATTATGCAATCGAAATCAACAGCTGCCGGTATTGGGAGAATAAAGAACTAAATAACTGGGGTGTTTTTCATTCTAATTTTCAACAGACGGCGTTAAATTTCGGGAATAGAATCATTCTTCGCTTGGGTTGGTAGACCGCAGAACTTTTAGTCCTATTCAATCCAGATTGGAAACTGAAAAAAAAAAAAAAAAAGTGTTGCTTGTTTTGCAGCGAACTGTAACAGTTTCAATATTCGAGATTTTGCGGAGAAAGGGGAGAACCTCCCAATCTTCGTACTGTATAATGTATTGGCCAAAAAAAAAATGAAATTATTTTGACTATTCGATTACTTTCCCTTTATTTAAGCCATTCCGAATATTATTCCTTAGAAAGCTAATCTGTGTTAAAACACAACCATTTTTGGAAGTTTACTATACTTCAGCAGCTATGTTATTATAAAGCAGCTATGCTTCAGCTGCAACTATGTTATTATAAATATTCATACATATGCTCATAATATAAGCATAATGATCATAATAAACATGAATATGAACTGACCAAGCGGAATGAGAATGTAAATTATTAAGATCTTGATAGAAATTCAAACGTGTTTAGTATTTGGATGGGCGGAAAAGAATGCCGAATGTACCGGAATTTTCTACTGCTTTCGCAATTCTTTGACAAACGACGGGCACCTGTCTCTACTCTTCGTGCACACCAAAGGTTATGTTAATGCAGAGAAAGGGGGAAAAGCTATTTCCGGGAGTATGATTCACCATCTGACATTCCACATTAGGAAGAAAAGTTGTTTACTTAGCTTTGGCTTTGGTATGGGGAAAAATAGCGAGTTCATTAAAAAAGAAAAAGCACTAAAAGCAAAGAATAAGCACTAAAAAAAAAAAAAAAATAAGGGCCTTTAAAGAAAAAATAAGCACCTATAAGAAGCACTTATAAGGACCGCTACGAACCCCGTTTAAAATACTGTATCCCCAAACAGATGCCATATATGAGGATGGAAATTCATTAATTCGCACAATATGATATTAACACAATAATTTAGAGAACACGGAAAACAACTCAACTATCTTCCAGTGTATGGTTTCCCATAGTTTAATTAACTGATTATTCAAATTTTTGATACTTTTCCTGAACTCCTCAACTTCCCCCTCACATTTCCTTGCCCGGATGTAAATTTAAAGTTAAGTCAAGTGAGTATTTGAACAGGTGAATCCTGGAGTTTATTCAGAGTGTGTTTTCGCTAGCCGGCGTACGTTACGTTTCTGACCTTGCTGTTACGCCTTTTGGCTATTTGAATAATTATCACGTTGGATAGGTTGTCGAGTCAACCTAATTAGCTGTAATTTAAAGTGCTAATCAGCACTACTCTTTTAAACTTGAATTTATTGTGTTACAATTCTTACTTTCCACCGCAAGTTGTCAGTGTTATTGTAGAGCATGAAGTAAGTACCCTTCTGTTCATAGTTGTGAATAATAAAGGGTAATTTTCACCCTTCCTATGTGCTGGTATTATTTCACATCTGTGTAAGAAGTCGCCAGTTTCTTTAGTAGTATCTAGTAGAGCTTATGAGGCCAAACAAAGCAAGATCCTATACCATGTCTTCTACCATTATGTGGTTTCATACTACTGAACTTGTTTATACAAGTATGCTACTAGACAGAGTTTGAAACCTTTTGCTTTCTCCTTCCTTCATGATCTTGAAAGGAAATAGCTATTGTTTTGCAAGATGAATGACTAAAAATACTTTGATTATAGGTTTTTATTCATCATTTCCAACAAGAACTGTAGTAGTACCAGCTTCCAAAAGAGGATCTACATTGCATTGATAAAATGTTACAATTCAGATGCATGTGTTTCTGTTTTATAGTCTAATCCTTGAAGTTTGAAATATATTATAATCTCAACTAATTCATTATCAAGCACTTTCTTTATATTAAAAAGCATAAAAAATGCAAAAAATTTTTTCTATGCTTCTCAATAAAATACTCAAGAGACAGAATTATTCTCGACATTTTTCAAGAATTTGGGAAGAATCCGAATTCAAAACAATAATAAAAAAACCTCTCTGAAAAGTATAGGACATGCCTGCTGAAAATTTTTAACCACTTCATTTTTTACTTTGCCTAGACAGGCATTTCAAATTGTCTATTTCTGTTTTGGTGAAAGGATAGGAATTTTCAGTATAGTAAGACAACACATACCTGAAAGTCATTGTTGATAATTAGATTCATCATAATTGGTATCACCTCAGGGAAATTTTATCCCTGAGGCACTTAATATTTAATCTAAGAATAATGATGACTCCTTTGGAGTGTTTCCTGAAAATTTCAAATTTTTAGAAAAATTATTTCAAACCTATACATATAAATTCCCCTCCAAATACTGAACTTATTTACATCAGCATCAAACCTATTTCATTATTATTATTTTTTTTTTCATTCTATTTGTTTAAAATTGTTTCTGAACAAATGATAGTCTTCAACCACATATCTGAAACTGGCATAATAATTAACATAATTATATTCATTTCAGATTTGGTCTGAAATCAATTTCAGAACCATTGCATCAGTAGACAAGATGCTTTTATCTTTTGAGTTGGCTTCCACCCATATGACATTAAAGCTCTTCAGTAATGTGTATCTCACAATAAAATTTATGCTTTTCTTAGCTTATTTTCCTACCAGCTAGGATTCATATATGACTGCATGATCACACAGCATTTGACACTTCTATACTCATAAAAGCAGGACATTTAAAAAAAAATTCTACCATGCAATAATAACAGAAAAGGTAAAACACACCGCTCTAACAACTATTTTATTCTAAGAATTTATTTAAAATTTCGAAATTTTACATTCATGTACATGAATGAGTTATTTAAGTTAAGACGGCTAAATCGATAATTTTTAAATGTGCCAAACTGGTCCAAGACTGCAGTTTTACCTAAAACAGCAGGTAAATAATAAATTACCTCTTGTAAAATTATTGATATCCTCATTAATTCAAATAACCCACATAAACAAGCAACTTTGGATATTAAATATATAAGCATATACCCTTGACTGAAATTTAATAAATTACAAATACCTCATACATGATACGGAATAAATAAAACAGAGAAATTATTTACATATAGTAATTAATTTTACTTAGAAAAAACAACATAAAACATTTCATATACCTAATGTAAAAAATAAAAACAATGTGAATACAATGGCCATTCTTATATCGGACTTTAAGTTCTACTAACAATAATTAAAAGTTCTCAGTTGTTTATCAAATATTTGAACAAAAGTAAACAAAACTAAAGAGTTGAGGAGTAGAGCACGTGACTAGAGTTGAGAAGTGGGAAGAAACACGTGAAATTTTTTTTAACGTGCAGATAAAGATAAGAATTTCAAAGCAGATTAATACATGGAGTTTAGACTGTATGTGCGACAGACTGTTTACGTATATACAAACACACACACAAAAATATATATATAGGGAAAAAATTGAGTGAATATAGGAAAAAATTGAATGGCATTATCACAGTAGAATAACGGAACTACTTTCGTCGTTCCTATGGTAACCGATCACTCCTCTGCATCCGATAAGATAAAACTGCTTTGTGCAGTATTTACGTTCTCATTTTACTATATGGATTACTATTATTGGACCTGATTTGATCAAAATGTCTAGTCTAGCTTCTACTCTTTTCGAATTAGCAGCAGTTGACTTTGCTATACAGTATACTGTGTTTCTTATATCAGCTTATTATAAGACTGAAAAATTCTACGATGTAACCGGTAAAAATATTATGTTCAGTTCGATATAATCCTTTTCAAAAGTATTAAAACTTGATAGAAATTCCAATACAACTAGCATAATATAATGTAATTTTGCTTGTTGTATTAGAAAATAAGTTATGATAAAAGTTGTGGTTGATCTTTACAATAAAAAACAAACTAAAATTTTTTAGTGAAGAGAAATATGTGATAATGGTAGAATCAAGAAAAATCCGTGATTTTTTTACCTTTTTCGGATAATAGATTTTTTAAATATTGAAAGCTTTTCGATTTATTTTGAGACAATATACGTTTATTGATATTTGGATTAAGATCTTTTTTAAAAATCAATGAACAAATAAATTTTTATATGATTCTTGTAGTATTCGTGGAGTATTTCTCAGGCTTTGAGCCATAATAACTAGTTTCATTCAGGGGAGGGGGCTAATTCTCATAGAAATTCCTCAGTCCCCATAATGTAGTCTGTCTGATATGTTTTATACATTGTGCCGTCATTCTTAAATTTTATTAAAATAAAAGTTTATAAAATTCATAGTTGAATGGAAATGGTTAATGCAGAAAATTCTAATGAAATAGTTTTATTAAATACTTATTTTTAGTTATGATACCTTGTGTCATTAAATTTATTACTAAAAACATAACTTAGGATTACATGATGTAGGTAAAGATGAGACCCTCCATAGTGACAGTTATATATTTAGATTTCCTATGTAGATTCAGTTCATGCTGAAAAAAGAATTATATGACCAGAGCCTTGCGTATTCATATAAAATTGCACATATTCAGATATTCTTGTTAGTTAATTATCATCAAGTTGTACAGAGGCTGTTCGCACAGTTTTTAGACGATTTTGGTAAGTGGTAATAAAAAATCATTTGCTGCAAAAGAAGTAATTGCAATTGTACTATGTTTTTAAAAGCAAAAATTATCGTCTGTGATATGCATACTCCGTTATCCAAAAACGATGTGAGAGTCATGGTTTTGTGATATCTAAAGCGTCGATAGGTAATATCATCAGCAAGAAAGGAAAAAAACGTCAAATTGGAGCCTCAAGTGGGTCAAAAATTCCAAACAAGTATCCAAGGAAAAAACGGACATCTTCGACTATTGCAAAGGTACGTTGTTTAATGTTAAAAGAAAATCCCCCTAGTCAAAGGACAACTGCAAAATTATTAAAATGCTCTGTGTCCACTGTAAACAAAATGATAAACGTTGATTTAAATCTTAAGAAAGCGAAAAAACGCAATGTGCATCGTCTTCTTCCAAAGCATATCGCTCAACGCAGGACACGCTGCAGAATTCTATATGAGAAACACTTATCCAAAGAAAAATGGAAAACAATTGTCACAATAGATGAAGCATGGGTGTATTTAAATAATTGTAACAAAAAAAAGAGCCATTTATTATCATAAAAGGGAAGAAAAAATTTAAGTACATGGTTCAAAGAATCGAAAGGAAGTTTTTCTAAGGATTCATGATTGTTGCTAGTTTTTCTCATAATGGCAAGTTAAAAATAAGAAGAGTGCAAAAAAATGTCAAAATTAACTCCAAATACTATCAGGAACATATTTTATTGCCAACTTTTCTGAATGAAACACCATCGCTTTACCCACAGTGCCATCCATCTGTGAGACTCCATCAGGACAAAGCTAGCAGTCACACATCAAAATCCACTGTCAATTTCCTAAAAGAAATGGAACAAAAAACTGGTATCGAGGCCATACCCTTCACTGATATCCCTACTAAATCTCCCGATGTATCACCTGTGGATTTTTGTGCTTTCGGACTTTTAAAAACTGCATTATCCAAACGTTGTCCCAAAACCCTAGCAGGACTCCAAAAAGCTGTTCGGGAGGAATGGGATAGATATCTCTTCTGCCACTTCAAAAGGCATTATTATCCTGGAAATTGCGATGTCGAAAGATAGTTCAGAATAAGGGATGTCAAATAGAACATTTAAAACACAAGAATTTTATGTAATTTAGTTTTGTGAATACAATATACATCGTCTAAAAAATGTGTGAATAGCCTCTGTAATGGATATTTATGGATATAAACCTGAAGGAAATTAAATGGTGATAATTGTGTTTGTGTTTAAACAATATTCATGTGTTCCTGAGTATTTTATTTTTTTAAGTAAAAATATATTTAAAGGTGCCCCTCTGGGAAAATTGACGTTTTTTCGCTACTAGTCAGCAAGACACAATTTCAAGATTGCCGCTACACAAAACTAAAATAACAGTCAAAGAATTGCACAAACTCGGTGTTCATGTACACATCAATCTATTTTCACTTAAAAAAAACATAAGAGAATTGCGCAAACTGGGCATTGCTCACTGACTTGACTTTGTCCATGTACACATCGATTTATTTTCAATTAAAAATCAAAGGAGCACCCAATTACTCCAAAATACACCAATTACTCTAGAACCAAACAACAACAACAACAACAACAAAAATAATAATAATAATCTTAATAAACTGCATTTTAAGCAAAACAATGAAATAATATAAAAAAGCAAAAACATCTTATCCCATCTAAGCACTACACAAAGGAAATATCAACTTACCTTATTTGGAAATTTCAGTCTGTGGCACACAAAATTCCTTAACAGCATCCAAAAACTTTCCTAGAAACATGTTCCCTTTCTAATGGAATGCCTTTATGTGGTCAGCATTTGAACCTTTCTTGCGACAAACCCATTCAAAGCCATCTGAACGATCTTTACGTTTCACCATACACATTTCCATCATACAAACAGGGCACTTATAATTCCGTTGAATACATACAACAAAGTTTCTTTTCTTCTGGCTTCAATGACTTAAAAGAAAAAATACCTTCCGCTTTCTTGTTCTATACTACAAAACACCCAGTTTACTACCGGCAGCCATTTTACAATGCAAAGCACACAATACGCAACGTGCTTTCTAACTGACATCCAATTCAGAAATAAGCCCTTACAAATATTTTCCCATCAGTTAAATTCACCGCAATCCCACAGCTAATTACGTCATAATAGGGTTACCATAACATTCAACTACTCAGGTTACCTTAAATGAAACAACTTGATGATAAATGAAATAACAACTTGTTGATAATCCAAGGGGCACCCTAAAATATAGGCTAACCTTTTTAAATGTAAATGTGATGGCATAGTCCTTTGGGAGCATTCTGAGAAACATCTCAAAGCCTTGTTTATTTGTATTTTGGATCTCTTCCTTAATATACTCAATTTTAAAATCACTCAAATGGCAACACTATACTGAAAAAAAAAATTACCTCCGGCGTGCATGAATGTGTATTGGAAATTCTAAAGATATACTCATTTTAAAATTATTTTACAATATTGCTGTTGAACTGAATTTTATGATTTAAATGTGAAAAACATGATATTTAATAAATGAAGGCAACACATAAAACGTTAAAAAATGCCCCTTAGGGCATAATCTAAAATCTGAAAGCTTTCAAATTTTGGAACTACTCTTATATGTGCCCTCAGGTCGCCAAATTTCTCACCAAACATTTTTGGCAAGAAACTCCACAGTTCCAAATTACTACCTAAAATTTTGTCTACATTTCGAACTTTAAGCCTAAAATGTCTCCAAAAATGCGGTTTTCGCACATGCAAAAACCATGTTTCGAACACACAATTTAAGCTAAAAATCTGAAACAAAAACAAAAATTTTGATAGCAAAAACGTAAAGTGTCTAACCAAAAATATTTGACAAGAATCCATGTACACAGCGATATGTTTTAACTTAAAAAAAAAATCTACGAATTGCACAATCTAGGCAGCGAATGAATCTACGAACTATGCACACCTCGCTTTAATAAATTAACTTAACAAAAATAAATTTCAAATAATATCATGTACAGAGCATTCGGTATAAACTTAAAAAAAACATCTACGAAATGCACAATCTAGGCATTGCGCACAAATCAACAAAATAAATTAAAATAATTAAAAAAAATCACAAATAATTCAAAAAAAAAAAAACAATAACAACAGAAATTCATAGTAAAAATACAATGAACATAACATTCTGCAAAATAAAAGCAGGTTCACAAATAAATGCACTTACCATAATACATTCTTTTCCTAAATCCTTGTATCGCCATTTCCACACACATCCTGTGAACAAATAGTTGCCACGAATTTGCTATATCACATCTTTTTCTGTGATTCAAAATTTCAAAAGTAACAATCAAAACTTCCTCCAAAGTTAACTTACTGCACGAAAACCATGATCCATATCTTAAACTCCGCTGACAGCCACATACTGTACCAGCAAGTATTTCACTGCAAATCCACACAAGAACTATCAGAAACGCCCTTCTTTGTCCGAGTTCTCATAGCAGGTCCGCATTTCAGACTCCATTTTAAAAGTCCCACAGAAATTCCAAAAATATATTTCGATCCTCATAAACACACCCGTGAACAAAAGACTCGTTAACAATTCCAACATTGTACCATTTAATACTAAATTTACTGTCCACACAATCTAAAATATGCGACTGAAATCTTGCCACCACGTCTATCATTCCAACATAGGCCATTTCAAAACATGCACAACACTAACCAATGAGCAATTAAACCACTGCGCAAAAGAGTTAAGTCAAATAAGTTTCAACGTCAAAAGGGTTGCAACTGAAACAACATCATCCCAAAAACCAGAGCAGAACATATATCGCCACATTTTGTGATCTTAGGGGGAATATAAGAGTAGAGCCCAGATTTTTTTAATTATTTAATTTTTTATTTCTGTATTTCATTTTGCTTTACATTTCTTGAAAACTTTCCATAGGGCTCTGTCACTTGTAATTTTGGAAATTAAACCCTGCTTGCAATACATTGATTAAAAATCATTAACCATATGTTATCAGATTTCTTTCATCTGGAAGCCTGACTGAAGATATGAAATAAATAACTTCTTTAGTATATTAAACCTTATTATTTAATATATACAGAGCTTAATATCCAAAGTTTTGGAACCCTATTTGAGGTAGTTGAGAACTGTGTACTAAAATAAACAAACAGAATTCTAAATAATAAAGAATATAAATTAAATGAAATATAAAGATATTAATAAAATATTAAATGATAAAATGTTATTTTAATAAAGTAATCTAAGTAATAGAGAAATAAAAAATGAGTAAATTAACAAGAAGATTTGGTGTTAATTCAGAAGTCAAACAACAAGATTTGGTGTGTTTAACTGATTGCATAAAGCATATGAGATTATTTGCTTGAAAATACTACTTGCTTGCCAAAAAAGAGATATATTCATGGAGGATTTTCAGGGGGAAAAAGGGTTCATATTTACATTATATGTAGGAAAAAGCATAAAAATCCTAGTGCAACTATGTTTGTTGGGACAGAAGATATGATATTGAGGATTTTTTGAAAGAAAAGTATTTTGAATAATATGCTTCATTGTGAGATGAAAGTTTTCTTTACTTTAATGTGCAATGCATTTAGTGCTCTTTATCAAATGAGTGCAGCCTATAAATATTCACCTCCTGAACTGTTTAACATGTGGCATTTATTTCCCAGTTGCTCAAAATTTCCTGCATATTTCCCACTTTTCCAACATCCTGAAAATGTTAGATGTACAATTGGTACCTAAAATCAGCATCAGTTTTATTAACTACTGAAATACTAACTGAATTTGGAATAGCTACTGAAAACTGAATTTTTTACTAATATTGCAATTCAGTTTCATAACAGAATCATTTCGAGGCTTCAGCTGGAACTACAGATTTTCTTAAAACCTGAGTTCTTGAGCCAAGTTTTGTTAAATTCTGGCTGAATTTAAGCACTTATTTATATGAATTAACAATATTTTTTATTAGCTTTAACGGATGTATTACTATTTATATTATCCGATAATGGTTATAACAATGAATATAAATTACTTATTAATGTACCAACATAAGTTTTCTTGAATTATAGTATCATAAATGCTTAGTTATAAAATCAAAAACATTTGGGTACTTTCTGATTATCTGCACCCCAACAAAAAGATGACATCTTGCAGAGAAATGGTTATTTGGGTATCTTTATATTTATTTCAGTGATGCATCTTTTGTTGCTAGGTTTTTAATATATATATATATATATTGGTGTGTGTGTGTATGCTGCTGTTTTTTTTTTTTTTTTTTTTTTTTGTGTGTGTGTGTACACAGCAATTTGTTTTTGTTAAGAAAAATAGCCAAGACTTGCACAAACTTGTCATCGTGCATAATCTCACCACCAAAATCCCAAAATCCTAAAATTAAAAAAAAAATAAAAAAATAAAAAAAGGTGCTTGATACCATTATAGACAAACCATATTATGCTGTCTAAAATTTTAAGACAATGTGAATTGTAGTATGTAGTTCACTGTCATACTAAAATGCTTAAATTCCCATAGGAGGTATCATAATTTGCAGTCACATTGACAAAAATGTCTGGAGAAATGGAAAGGTGCCCGGGAGCGTGTTGCTACACATATAGTTGAGTTGCCGCATAAATACTTGTTGCAATACTAAAAAATGTTGCAATACTAAATACTATTGTTGTTGCATACAACAACAATGTTGCCTCATCAATCCTTTTTGCAGTTTTTGGTTGAGGGTGCAGATAATTAAAACGCTACAATATTTGGCAGATCTCTAGATTCTGGGAAAACGAATAAATGTTTTATTGTTTGTAATTGCTTAAAATATTTCTTATAGTTTTAATAACTTATTTCCTTTCAGGTACAACTACTTTTATTGTTCTTTCTCATTTATGTGCAAAATGGATTCCTGACCGTTCAGTAAGACAGTCGATTCAGTCAGGAATGGTACTTACTTGGGCAGTAAGGTAGATATGGCTTTTTGCTTGCAATTTAACTGTTTGCATCAATGAAATTATTTTCAGAATAATTTATTTTCTCTAAATGAACCTAGAAATAGTAATGAATAACTAACTACATGGCTTATAAACATTTTGGCATTAAGATTTTCTCTAAAATTTATTCCTATGATGTACATGAGATGTTGTACATGAGATACTATCATTAAGTCGCTCATGTACAACTGGTTTATTAATTCAATAGAAGTCTAGAAACATGCAATGCTTAGGACCAGAGGTTGTGTGGATTTTAGGATTTTGCGGATATCAGGAAGAAAAGAGAAATCATTATATTCAGACTAAAAGTGCAAAATAAATAAGGCATATTAGATACATTTAATTAAATTATTATATACATTATTACAATAATATACATATACATTATTACATTAATTTATTATATGCATTAAATATTATTATATATATAATATAGTATTCATTTATATTAGTGATTAATGGTATATTTAAAAGCATTAAGGACATATAAAATATGGGATATTAATAAAGCATAAAATATTTCATTTTTTTCTACATATTTCAAACGTTTTTCTGGTAGAGGTTTATTTTAAAACTTTAGGGTGTTCCAGGGTAAGTTCTTTTTGTAAATTATATAGAGTCCTCTTGCTTTGTAGCACAGCTCTATTTAAAAAAAATTAGGTATTTTTGACCATGTTCTAAACCCTCATTAAAAGATATTTTCTCACCCCTATCAAATTCACTATCTGTGTCGGTGTCGGAATCATTTTCTTGCTGTGGCGAGTTCAAAACAGAGCCAGTGATTTCATCATTGGTCATCGGATATGCCAGTGTTGGTTCATCTGAAACACATCATCCATTCAATGATACTTTCTTCTTCCAAAGCCTCCTCATTTATTCCTTCTTTCGAATATAAAAGCAGTTCTCTTGCTTTAACCCTTGCTGCACTGACTCTAAAACCAGAAAATTCAGTATCATCACTCTCAGTTTCAATAAACAGAGACTATGGCCATACATAAAGTATTTATTAATGTAGTTTGGGAAACAGAATTCAATGATTTTACTATCAAATAAATGCAGTTTTTTTTTTTTTTTTTTTTTTTTTTTTTTTTAATAATTACAAAGTTAAATAGAATGGTCACTTGAAATAATTTTTTTCAGAAGCTCTGATTTATTTTTTTTTATTGATACAGATTGAAGGGGGAAAAGCTTTTACCATGATGTCAATAATTTGTCATTTCCAGATGTATTATTTCCGTTATGTCATTTTTATTCGATAATTATGACATCATTATTTGGCAAATATTTTTTCTTTGATAGTTCATTCTCCATGTTGCAGTTTCTGAAACCTATAAAACGAATGTTTATATTCTGAGAGGCAATGCAGATTTCAGGTTGGCAGATTTTCGGTCTACTAGCAATCAGCAGAATATGCTAGAATTGAAATTTTGGATTTCTTAAAAGAAATTTCTGTATACTTTAGCTCATTTTTTTTATTACACTACTCGTTTTTTTTAAGCCAAGAATCTCTCTACAGATATTATTTTTAAGACTCTGTCTCTATTTGGAACCACTGTAAATAAATTAGCTACCACAAGAGCTTATTAATGCATTTAATTTGGAGTTCTGTATCTCAAAAGTTATGGCCAAATACATTTTTAATGCATATTAATTCAAAACTATTTTTAAAACTTTTTAAACTAGACTTACCTAAAATAAAAGATTTGCAACTTCATATTCAAATGTTTTATATTTTTAAGAAAGAGCACAATCTAAGGTACTGTTTTGTTATCGAGACCAGATCCAGAAATGTATGTATGGATGGATGTGTTTGTTCATGGAGAAAAATATATTCCAGGATACCCCTTGGTGAAAATTGGAGAATTTTTAGCACTATTCTTGTTTTCACGCAATGCCCTCCCAAGTAAAATAGCATCCAAAAAATAATTAAAGCGTAAAAAAAATTTAATGTCAATAAAATGAACTTATAAAAATAAAGCAAGGAAATAACATAAAAATGGAAGTACGTGTTATCTAATCTGCACAGTACAATGAGGAAACATCGACTTACCTTATTTAGAAATTTCTGTGTCTTTGGTGTGTCGCACACAGAATTCCTTAACAGCATCCAAAAACTGTTTAAAATTATCTGAACTAGAATCTAGATACTACCATCACCACATAAATTCATAAAAGTAAAAATCAAAGGTATCCTCTGTACTCCCGGAGGCATTTCTTTTGAAAATTCCTTTCTATTACACTTCACATACCTTCCATAGCGTTGATACGAGCTCCGGTTTCCAAATCCTTATATCTCACTGCGTAATTTACGGATAGGTGAACGAAATCATTTACACTCTACTCAGTCAGTATTTTCTTTCCCATTCATTCCAAAGTATACAGAATCTTCAAGTTAATCATATCACTTGCAGGCATTTTATGGTGTAAAGCACAAAATAAGCAGTGTTCTTCCTAACCAATATCCAGTGCATAAATAAGCCCTGAGAAATATTTTCTCAACAGTCAAAATAACCGTAATCACGCATTACAACCAATCACATCATAATAGGGTTTCCATAACTTTCAACATAAATGAAACAACTTTGCAATAATCCAAGGGGTACCCTAATTTATAGACTACCCTGTTCACAACTTAAAGTATTATGGCACTTTATGACCTCTCTTTTCGACTTTCACCAGAGCATATCTGTGATTGTCGACATACACCGGTGAGAGTCCGAATATACAAGAATGTAGTGAAATATTCTGTCTTTCACCGACGTATTTGGTGAATGCTGATATTCTCTGGTGAAAGTCGACATTCTCCAATTTCGGTCTTTCACGGTAACATATACACATATATGCGCATACAATAGATACACAAGCGCATACATTCATACATTTCTGAATCCAGTTCCAATAGCAGAACAGTACCCAATCTAAATGCAAATAATGCTAAATTATTTTTTGTAATTTGTTTCTATGCTATTGAAGACTCATTTTGAAGTTAGGTGAAACTGCCAATATTCAGCAGTATTGTGTTATCCACTCGGCTATTAAGATATTTCAATAATAAAATAATTTCACCTCTTTGATCTAAAATATGGTATAATGTATTTTTGTTAAAAAATATAAGTAAGGAAAAACTACTGATGAATTTTCCAGATTGCTGAATTCTATTTTTTTATCATCAGCAAGTGGGCATAAATTATTAGTATTCTCAGATTATCAGACTACTGTAATTTCATTTTTAAACTGGGATTTATATTAATAATGTATGTTTTTTATAGTGGATAATGTGCAACATGTGATTTATTTATAATTTTTGGAATTCTTGATGTGTTTCATGTTTTTGCACAATAGCTGAGGTTTTTTTACTAAAAATGGATAATCTTCTGTCATCAGGACCAGATTCAGAAATGTATGCATGTAGGTGTTCATGTAATACATGTAGTATATGTGTACATTGTGTGTATACATATGTGTGTATACATGCATGCATTTCTGAATCCGGTTTCAATAAAAGAAGAGTACCTAAAAATGTCTTAGCTTAAAAAAAAAAAAAAAAAAAAAAAAAAAACTGAAAGATTTCAGAATTTATATTACACCCAAAGGGACTTCGGCTCTACTCTTATATGCGCTCTAAAATCACCAAATGTGGCGATATGTATTCTGTGCTGTTTTTTGGCACGATTGTATGTTGTATGGCAACCCTTTTGATGTGTGTTCCAGGCGGAGGTGCAACAGTGTGTTCCAGGCAGAGGTGCAAGCAATTATAACCGCGGTAGATTACATTTTCAATAATAATATAGAACGGGCGAAAATTTTCACTGACAGTATGTCAACGCTTCTAGCACTAGATAATCACAACCACACACCTCGCCCTTGATCATCAAATTACAACAACTTTTACAGCGCAACTCGCAGAAACATCTCTCCTTAACATGGATCAAGGCACATGCAGAAAATGAGGGGAATGAAGCAGCTGATAGCCTGGCCAAGCAAGCAGCCACTGATCCAGAAGCTGAAAAAATCACAATCCCAGCCCCTCCTTCCTACCTCAAAGGGCTATTACGGGGTCAAGGCCTAAATCTTTGGCAGGAAGACTGGATGCACTGCACAACTGGAAGACGTACATACAGCTACCTCCCGAAAGTCAGCACTGAACGCAACATTGCAATAGCTCCTCTTACGGCTTATATTACGGGACACGGCCCATTCCCGACCTACTTCAATAGACATGGCATAACAACCACGGACATATGCGCCTGCGGAGCGGAAGGCTCCCCAGACCACTATGTTTTTGAATGCTATCTGACAACAGGAAATCACCTCCCTCTTCTTATCAACAATAGTGAAGCTTATCACCGCTTCCTTATAAAGCACAAACCGGCAGTAAATACAATTTGCAAAGTTGTTAACAAGCTCAAGAGAATGGGCCAAGATTTGTGCTCTCCTCATTAACCAAAAACTCTCAAGACATGATACACTAACTAAGTCAGCATGCAGTTCCACATTTTCAGACACATAAGTCTACTCCTAAAATTTACATAAGTCCCTATTACAGACACCTTTCAAATAATGTACAATCAAATGTATTTAACATTTCCTCTTCTGTATATGCATAATCTTACTTTTTTTAAATTTTTATTTATTTATTTTATTTATTTTATTTTTTTTATTTTTATTTTTTTTCCCCTATGAGCCTGTAATTTGATCCTATTATTTTGTAACTGTATTTTTGTATCTGTATATTTAATTTGTATTTTTATTAGAATTTTATTGTGAATGTGCAAAATTACCATAGCAAATTGCAACAACAAATGTCAAAACGGTAAAACGAATGCAATCTGCCCTTGTATGGCCATGTAAATGATCTTGTTAACATCCTAAAAAGCTCCCGAGGCGGCCTCTTGAGGCCCCAGGGAGTTGTTCCTGGTTAGTGGAGGGCGCGGGACACATGCCTGTTTACCTCTGTTAGACATCAGGCGTCCCCGTCCTCCGTTACCAACCAACCAACCCTTTTGATGTTGAAAACTTTTTTGCTGGAGTGGTTTAATTGCTCGATGGTTCGTGTCATGCGTGTTTTGAAATGGCTTATGTTGCAGTGAGAGACGTGGTTGCAAGAGGGTCTGGGAAATTATTTTTAGTGGCTGTGCATGATAGAAGTAAGGAAACGGTGATGCATTGTATTAAAGAGTGGATTGAGCCTTGTACAACTATTTTTTCGGATGGCTGGAAGTCTTACAAGGATTTAGGAAAAGAAGGTTTTGAACATTTATTTGTGAATCATAGTATGAATTTTGTGGATAAAGAGTCTGGCTGTCATATAAGTATAACAGAGAGTATGTGGCGGCATGTTAAAGCTACGTTCTGCTGTTCGAAAAAACATCCATTATGGTAAGTGCACTTTATTTTATTGTTTTTTATTTTGTAGAATGTTACGTTCCTTGTTTTTTTACTATGAATATCTGTTGGTATTGTTGTTTTTTGAATTATTTGTAATTTATTTTAGTTTATTTTGTTGATTTGTGCACAATGCCTAGATTGTGCAATTCGCAGATGTTTTTTTTTTTTAATTTACACAGAATGCTGTACATGGTATTCTCTGAAATTTATTGTTGTTATGTTAATTTATTAAAGCGAGGTGTGCATAGTTCGTAGATTCCTTCGCTGCCTAGATTGTGCAATTCGTAGATTTTTTTTAAGGTAAAACATATCGCTGTGTGCATGGATTCTTGTCAAATATTTCTGGTTAGAAACTTTACGTTTATGCTATCTAAATTTTTTGTTTTTGTTTCGGATTTTTAGCTTACATTGTGCGTTCAAAACGTGGTTTTCGCATGTGGGAAAACTGCGTATTTGGAAACATTTTAGGCTTAAAGTTTGAAAGTGTAGACAAAAAATTTAGATAGTAATATGGCACCATGGGGTTTCTCGCCAAAAATGTTTGGAGACCTGAGGGCACATATAAGAGTAGTTCTGGAACTTTTTTTAATGTTTTTTGTGTTACCTTTATTTATTAAATATCATGATCTTCGCACTTAAATCATCATATTCAGTTCAGCAGCAATATCGCAAAATAATTTTTAAATGAGCATAGCTTTAGAATTTTCGATACACAGTCTCGCGCGCTGGAGATAAAAGTGGTTTTTTTTTTACATACAGTGTTGCCATTGCTTGCCTCGAAATTGTTGAGTTTGTTAATCGAAAATTCGTTAAAGTGTTTCAAAATATGAAATCGATAGTAAAACAAATTTCAAATTCCAAATTAGGGCTTTCAGATACCATATTCGGTGGAAGATTTTGTTATTCAAAATTAGATGGCTCTAGATACCATTGTTTTATCCCAATGCGAGAAACATATATGCATTTATGCAGATTCTTCATTATTTAGTTTTTTTAAATATAACACAAGGGGATAATATTTGGTGGCAACAATTTGAAAAGTGATACAACCTATTAAAGTTTTCAACGCAAAATGGAAAAACAAAATTAACAGCCCTTCTGGGCTAAAAATTTTAATGATCTATTGCTTAGTAATCTCAGCAAATATTCAATGCTGATTGAGGTTCTTTGAAATTTATTTAATATTCAATGCTGATTGAGTATTAAATGTGTTGTGTAAAGTTCTTAAAAATTGTTGCATATAGTATCAGTTTAATTTAATATGAGCATTATTTACCAGCTCTGTCAGAAATAACTCATGTACTTGACAGCAACAAACCAAAACCATGTATGTTGCTGTTTTGTGTATGACTATTTGGGAATTAAACATGATATGCATTAGCATTCTAATTTCTTTGCTTAATTGTGCAATATTTATTTTCATGGTATCCTTGATATTATACTTAAATAATAATGGATTAATTATCACTTCGAGTTCTAATTCACTGAATGTCAAATTTCAAGCCGAGCTGAAGCATACCGTTCAGACTGATCCAAAATCCAGTGTACATAATAAATTTTCATTTAATTGGCTTTTATTGATGCAAAAAAATAATATAAAATGACATACAAATTACCTATGCCACAATATGATTTATTGCATTAACTTTTTTGGAATTACTAAATACTTATTCTCACTTTTAATAAATTTGTTTTATTATATGATTATTCAAAAATATTTAAAATGTATATTCTGTTTCCATTTCTAGACTTGGCACTTTCCTTTTTATAAGAGTTCTAAAAAATGGAGGAGATCGTAGATTCGACAAAGCTAGAGATAATCCTTTTCTTTTCTTCATATATTGGACATTACAAGGTATGTAATTATTGTTAAATTAATTTAAATAGATACATTAAAACACCTTGTTTTTAATGCCATATTTTATTTACATTATATCTTCCTATGTTGGGCAGAGCATAAATTGCACCGCAGCCCAACTCCGGTATGTCTCAGTTTTCAAGATAAATTATCATTTCAGCCGGAGCACACCGGAGGCCTAAATAAAAGGTCTCTGGCACTTCTTTTATGTAAGTGAACCACAATTTTAGCAAACAGATTTTGTTTTAATAGTAAAGATGTCTTAAAAATCTTTTCTAACTTCTGAATGCAGACCTGTCTTTCCCTCGCACTCAACAAGCCTTGCATAGAGGTTGAGGCTTTTAAAGAAACAAAAGCCCTCCAATCATATGTCAAAGGTTTATTCTCCAGGATGTGTAACAAATTTGTGACAGCGGGTAAATTTTGTGTTCTTCAAAGTACTAAAAGTGATGCCCTGGTCCATGCTAGTGACTTCCTACTGCAGAATTCCTGTAGACTTTATGAATGATGTAATCAAACGTGGGAACCACTGCTGTCACTTGTATGGAGAAGTCTTTTGTTTATTCTCAGGTTGTTGTATTCAAGAAAAATTTCTGCTTGATGGCTAGAATTATATCGACAGGGCATTGCGACCTTCCTCTTTATTTTTAAAACTACACTTTTCTATTAAAATTTCCTTCTATAGACTGATACTGTTTCTAGAATTCTCACTATTCTCCTCTGTGATGAATTTTATCATTTTTCATTGATGTGCTGAAAAAAAAGAATGGTTTTTGTATCTATCATCTCTTGGAATAGTACATTATACGTATAATCAGGACTTAAACTCAGACGGAGACTGGCTGAGCTGCTTCTTAGTGGATTTGTAATTCCAGCTGATGCCCTAAATAAGACAAGGTCCGATGTTTTTTCTATTTAACTATTTAAAATTAATTTAATAATTTATTAGACTTCTCTTTATATTTTTATTAATTTAAATTAAATTATTTAATTTTTTTATTTTGTTCCTCATAGTTTCCTAAGGCTGCGGCATTTTTAATTTTAGAAATTAAGCCCTGATGTTGGTTTCTGATTCAGCAGTTTGATACAGTTATAAAGATTTCCTGATATAAAGTACACGTGATAAATTATAAGCTAATTTGTTTCTGGAAACAGAACTCAAAGCAGAAGCAGGTCAACAAATGTTTTATTTCCTGACTTAGCTATCATGTAGTTCATGATACATATCTTTAGCCCCTCAAGCTACATGCCTTCTTTCCTGTTCACTTCAGAAACAAGGTAAATTCAACCTTATATTGGCATTAATTTCTACTGTAAAGCTTTTGAATGTGAAATGTGACTCTAATGTTTTACTATTTCACTTTGGTACTTCCTTTGGTCACCATATAAGTCTTTGGCAACATTTGAAATTTGCACGTTACAGATTGGACAATTAAATCCTTAATTGATTTCTAATAGGGGGCAGTACATGTACAGTGACAGAGATAAACTAATCAAACTAAGCTTGATTACTTTGAATTTGCACTGTCCCCTTTAGACAGATTTACAAACTTATTGTGGCTAAAATAATCTCATGTTGGCATGAAGTGAAAGACAAATTATTTTTATTGATTTGCTAAATTTATAGCTAAAAATTTCAATTATTTTTTTTATATTTTAAACTGTAGAAATATATTTATAGTCATCTTTATGCAATGCATTGCTCAAACTTTAAATATTAATTTATCTTTTCTTTCTTTTCTTCTGGGACAGATGCTGTAAGCAAAATATGAAAAAGAGCCATATGTTTTATGTATTACATTATATATGCTATGTTATTATATTAAAAATAATATGTCGTCTTTCCTTATATAAGAGAACAATACAGTTGATCTGTAAAATTTTACCATAAAAAGTATTACAGTATAAGGTTTGAAATATTATTCCTGATTTGGGTCAAATAATTATATTTGAATGATATGATGCATATTTATTAAAAAAATAGTTATTTTCATATGCTTAAAAGAAATTTTTGTTTAAAATGTGATAAATGAACAAAATAAGCTTCACTAATTTCAAATTTTCTTTTCTAGGGATATGGATTTTTATAACATTGTTACCTACATTAATGCTCTTGAGTCGACCAGATTATGTGCCACTGACAAACAGAGACTACATAGGTTTCAGTTTGTGGATATTGGGATTTGCTATTGAAGTTGTGGCTGACTTCCAGAAATCTGTTTTCTGCAATATGCCAGAGAATCAAGTAAGTAAAGTAATTGCTATTAATAAATCATAAATAATTAATTAAATAGTAATAAATGAAGGAAATTATATCACTCATTTTTTACACCAAGTTATACATTTGAATCTCGTCGTTATGTATTTCACAAGGCCATGAAAACTTCCATTATTATGAGATTTATTGAATAATCCATTGTAATGAGATATTGAAGTCTAAAAATCAGAATTTTGAATAGCCAAAATAAATGCAAAAGAACATTTTTATTATTTAATATAAGAAAATTTTTCCAGAGAGATGTGTTTCAAATTTAACATTGTTGTAAAATATTTTTGGGAGGTGGGGAGGCAAGTTATCTACAGTGGGTGTTAAATATGGTTCCTACCAGCTAGGATTCATATAATGACTGCATGATCACACAGTATTTGACACTTCTATACTCATAAACGCAGGACATTTAAAAAAGAAAATTCTACCATGCAATAATAAATATGTTATTGCATCCATAGGTTGTTAAAATATGGTTTTAATATTTCTACACATAAAATAAGTGACATAATTAATATGGAAGGAAAGAAATGTCAAAGTTTACATCTGACTGGGAAAAAGCCAAAAAATGCATACCTGACAAAGGTACGTACAGCTCTTATTAAATCTAAAGTTGCATTTATAGCTAAAAAATTCAATTGATTTTTTCTGTTTTTTTTTCTTAAAGGAAATTCCAGCCCCCCAAAGATTTCTTGCAAAATCTTTAAATACCAGGAACTGTGAGCAAAATTATAAAATTTGTTTTAAAGCTAATCAAAAGAAAAAAAGAAAAAAAAAACATCATGTTTAGTGTCTAATGCCAAAACATGCTTTTGGCATTAGATTGTGTGCAGATTCAGTCTGAAAGTTATTTAGCAGGTGAAAAAAGGAAATATATAGTTACAGTTGACAAGGCCTGGATATACTTATTTGACTGCAATAGAAAAAGATCTATTTATTACTGAAAAGGAAAGTTGTTCTAAAGGTTTTCTGGTTATTGCTGGATTCTCTTATAACAGAAAAATTTAAATAAGGAAAGTAGAAAAAAATGTCAAAATTAATTCAGATTACTATCAGAAATATGTTTTAACACTTATATTTAGAGAAGGAATTCTATCTCCTTATCTGAACAATCTTCACTGTGTTAAGTTCCATTCGGATAAGGCTCCAAGCCATACCTCCAAATCTACTGCTCTATTTTTTGAAAAAAAAATGAGAAATGAAACCAGACTTGAAGCTATTCCCTTTAAATGCATCCCACCCACGTCACTCGATATGTCTCCTATGGATTATTGTGCATCTGGACTTTTAAAACAAGCTCTTTATAAACGGCATTCCAAAACATTGGATGGACTCTGGAAGGCTGTGAAGGAGAAGTGGAATAAAATCAATTTTAATGTTTATCTTGGAAATCAAGGTACTATAATATGATGGTCCAACAAAAGAGCAATCAGAGTGTACATATTAGAAAATAAAATTCTAAAATTTGTTTATAGATAAATCTTTGCAAAACTATTACAAAAATGTGTGAATACTCTCTGTATGTCTGTCTTTATTTATTCATCATATATTTTCTTCTTAGGGAAAGTTTATCACTTCCGGATTATGGTCAATATCTCGTCATCCCAACTATCTAGGAGAGATACTGCTATGGTTTGGCTTGTACTTTTCTGCAAGTTCAACTTTCAAAGGAAGTGAAATGCTAACTGTTTTATGCCCAGTATTTGATATGTTTCTCATCACTAAAGTTAGTGGAATTCCTCCTCTAGAGAAGCGTGGACTTAAAAAATGGGGCAATGATCCCAAATATATTGAATACGTCAAAAATACTGCTTTAATAGTTCCATATTTTTGGTAGCACACATAAAAAGTGCTATTATTACTTAAGAACTATCATTTTATATGTATAAAGTAATTCATACACATAATGTTATCAAATTCTTACATTTGTTCTCTTTCATTAATCACTAAATCATTATTCTTCTATATCTTAATTAGCATATATGATTTTTTTAGGCTAATCTTTAGTTTGTGATAAAACTGAGTAATATCAATGAAATAAGATGTTCAGCTGATTAAGATTCCAAATAAATGAATTTTGTTGTATATAGCACACATTAAAGTTTAGTATTTGTTATATATACACTACCTGACACGGAAAATGCTCCACTATAAAGGAGTGAGTAGAACGTGATAAAAATTGATAGACAGACAGAGAATAGATGCATAATTTCAGTTTCAAAAAGAAAATGTAATACAATACTGAAATATACTCGGTACTCAGCAGAAAGCAGGGTCACTTCTTGCAACAAAACTAGGAGCAATGATCAAACTCTGCTGCAAGGAACTTCAAGGAAGGAAGCTTGGTTCAATATATTTGATCCAATAAATAAAAAAATTTAAAAAAAGAGAGAGAGAGAAATATCTCACAAAAATATGCGAACACTGTGTAATGAATAAAGAAAAAAAAATTATTAACATTGCCATATTACCAAAACAAGTGAACAATTAATAATATTTTTAAAAATATTAAAATTTAATTGCAATTATTATTGCATGCACTTAATAAATTTATTGGTCATTCTTTTCCATGCTCTCCAAAATGTCTGATAAATTCATTGCCCTTTATCTGAAGCATTTGTCTAGATATTGGCAAATGACAGCTTCTCTTTAAATGGTGGAACTATTTCAGATGTTCCATACCTGTATGGTCCACCTTTTTCAATTTTTTCCTTGTATCCAAATTTTTTCTACAACTAGAAATATTAGAGTTTTGAATTTTTTTCATATGGTATCATCTGTAGGTCTGGATAAAGTGTATTTTTTGACACACATTGAATTTTAATTTTTCGAATAATGTTCACATTATCTTCAGAGCAGAACCTTTACATTAACAACTCACCACGCAGATGAAACACAGAAACATGAAGTTTGGTCAAAGAGTATGTAAGTTTTGTTCTTCTAGAAAATATGAAAAAGGAAGATAATTTCATCACCTACATGTGCTATCCAATGTCCATGGAGAATGTATTCATTTCCTCTAAGATATGTATGGTTGTGACTTAACTTTTATAAAGAATATTTTTTATCTTGCAAAAGATGTAAAGAATGCAAAAACCCTATTCAAAGGATATTACTTGCAGAGCATTTATACTCAAACAAAACAAATTGTTAAGTTCATTCCCTAAAAGAAAAAAACAACTGAAAACCATAAATACCAAGATTCACTACTTCCTCTTTCTCTTCTTTATAGCGAAAATTTTGGAATTTCCATCACAGCATCAGGCCTGAATACAGCTGTCTGGCAGGTTAAGCAAAGAATCTGAATAGAATCAAAGACCCCATTCATGTTTTAGTTCAGTGATCATGTACACCATATGATACCTTAAAGATATGCTTACTTTAAACCCACATTCTCCTAGAGTTGGTTGTCATACTCATATCACATAGCATTTGTTTAGAACATAAAGAAATATGAGAGTGAAAAATAAAAGAAAAGTAGCTTAAAAGAGTTTTTTCTTTACGGATGGATTGTGGATAATCATAATGGTTAGTAATTTCTGTTATTAAAACTTGAAGAAATTTTGGAAAAAATATGAAAAATACAAAAATGGTTTTAAGCGAAGATTTCCATGCAGTTCTTTATATTTAACTTTCACATTCCTGGAGGTTTGCTATAACAGTATAAAATAACATTAAGTGTGTAAGAAACTGGACGGGACCAGGTTCAACTGTATATATAAAATCAGCATGCAGATAGCATCCTCAGAGATGAATAATCATATGCTTTCAATCATCCTCCACAGTTCTTTCTTCAACTGAAGATGGGACAGGTCAAGAAAACATTGACTATTCATGTTCTACAAGTGTATCAGTGTGAGATCCGGAAACTTCAGTGACCAAGGAAGCATCTGGATATCCTGCAGGTCTATCTCCTAATGACTGTCATATGCAGCCAGATGTTATATTACTGGAAACAGCATCTTTATGCCTCTGATGCAAACCAATGAGGATGGCACTAATCATGATGCCACATTGTTGAGCAATATGGAATTTAGTTATCATAATAAAATTGGACCTGTCTCTATGTCGCATCTAGACTCTTACTTGGTGACACAAAGTGTGAGACATGCCATTGCAATCATTTCTACCTATGGTGTTGGTGTATTTAATTATGGCAAAGCACACGAGGGCTATCTGCCTAAAGGGAGGGATGCCTTTCGTGGAGGACTTTCTAAGGGAAACTGGCTCGTATACACGTTACACATGGGGAAAACCACGAAAACGCCCATGCAGCCAGCCCGTTCGCGGGGATTCGAACCTCAGACCGAACTACCAGTGTTCAGCGTCTTTACCGCTCGGCCGCTGGTGGGCCATTTTTCTACCTATGGAAATTTTCATAAAAAGGGCATAACTGCAAGCCACTTATAACCAATCATTTAAAAGTTGTTCTTGTTGCTGTTGTTGCATCTAATATTCCCTGCACATTCAGGATAATGCTAAGAGTCATGATTTGTGAAGCCGCCACTGTATGCCTTTGGATCAGCTTTCCAAGTATGATGACATCTATCTAGCTGCATCCCAGGCATGATTCACATTGACTTCTTCAATCCATCTTCTCCAAATTCTTGCACAACTGGTGTGCTGCAACAGCAATACAAGAACCAACCAGCAAGAGGCCTAAAAAAAAAAACCCTTGTGGAGATGAACTTCAGTAGCAACTTTTCAACTACAATTTGAGCTATTTTCTGAGACATAAAATAGCTCAAATTATGAGTTTCACACAGTGACAGAAAGTCAAGCAATTGTTGACTCATCTCACATTTCCTTCGCTTTTATTTTCTCAACTTATCACGTGATAAATTTTCATTTCAGATCATTTTCATAAATCATTCACTTGCATATTTCTAGCAATTTACATAATTATGCTGCCAAATGTTGCATTTTTGGGTGTCAGGAAGTGTGTTTTAGTCTGTCCACATATTTTAGAATCAAATTCATAACATACTGTACAAATTTTGTCTTGTAAATCAATATGTTTTTCACATTTTGAATTGTTCAAGTTTTTTCCTATTTATAAAAACTGTAATTAAGTTTAATAAATTTATTAATAATTTTAAGTTTAAACATTATTAATTTTTTATCATTTAATAAATTTTAAGTAAACAGACTTATTACATTTTGAAATGATGTTAATTCTTATTAAAACTGTAATTATGAACTGATAGCAGGTTTTAAATAAAATTACGGTATCCGGTATTATAGTTGATTCAAATAGCACTGTGAGACAAAAGGCATACTTAGATTTGACTCATTTGTCTGAACATGAAAAAGTGAGAATTGCAATGATTATTAATCTTTTATTTTGCTGGGATTAATTAACTTGTTTCTTTTAAATAATATGCATTACCAAAATTATTAAGTTAAAAAATAGTAATTAATATTGCATTCCGTCAAAAATGAGATATTTTAAGGTCAATCTTTATTAACAGATCACTATTTACTATGCCGTGTTTCTTTGTGGGCGGAGGGGATAAAGCTGATGACCAGTTTTGTTTCATATCTATATAATATATACCAATTATCTGGTCCCTTTCAACCGTCTGGCGGCCGAGTGGAACACTGGTAATTCGGTCCGGGGTTTGAATCCAGCAAACGGACTGGTTGCATGCGCGTTTTCCCTATGTGTAACGTGCATACAAGCCATTTTCACTTAGAAAGTCCTTGACGAAGGCATCCCTCCCTTTAGGCAGATAACCCTCGAGGCTTTGCCATAATCACATACACACACTTTCAACCATCTGCGTTCTGCTCGATTTTGATACATTCTGGTCCTGAAATACGGGGCGCCTTTTTTTATTTATTTATTTTTTATTATTATTTTCTCTATCTTCATATATTACTATTCACATCTTTATAAACAAAATCAGTATAATGCAGGAATTCTATTTTTATTTTTAAAAAGCATAAAATACCGTTAACATAATATTAGTTAACAGTTTAATTAACATGGAAAAAAATACATAGGATCTTTTTGATTTTTATACATGCTAGCTAATTTGTTCAGCTAATAATATTACTTGCGCTCACTTATAATTATACAATTTTTTTTTTTTTTGTTTTGTTTGTTTGTTTGTTTGTTTTAGTGTGATAAACTTTGAAACATGGCTCTAAACATAATCCAACTTTACATTCTTCACACCAAATGCTAGTCTCTAAACGTATTATTTCCCATTGTTGTCCTTTTGATGCAACACACAGGTTCTAGGTTCCTGTAGCACCATCTAGGTGCAAAACAAAACGTGAAATATCAATATTACAATTTTCTCGACCTACACGGAGAAAAAGCCAGAATCCGTATTGAAAATATGAGAAATAAACTTACGCATGTTATTTTTATGCCACTTGTATTTCGTATCCCGTGGAAATACGAACGGGGGCCATACGCAGAGGGTTAAAATGCTAGTATATGCAAACTCGCATTGTCAACAAAATTATTCATTTTCCAGAGCGAAGATAGTTTTATTTTTCGTCCAAAATTTTCACCTAGACTGCATTGCATTCCTTTTCTCTTTAGAAATCCTTTAAATCAGTTACATATCTCAATAGAGAAGATAAAAGAAGGTGAACTATTTACTTCTATATGAAGGTAAACAAATGAATTTTCAAGTTCCATTGTAAGCCAATTACTTGACTTGCAATGGAACTTAAAGGGAGGATAAGTAGGATTCAAAGTAAGCAGTTTACTGTGAAAGAGTATTCAATAAAATACAGTTACGAAATTTTCGACAACAGTTACAATTCGAATATTAACCAAGTCATTCATTTCTTATTTTATCTATTGTTGTTTTCAATTTAGTTTAAAAATGTGCATTGCAAATACAAACCATTAGCCCATTATGTAATGATATATATGCATCTCTTGCATAAATTATCTCTTTATTTTTACTTCATTGCATATTTTATTCTCTACATAATTTTACATACACCGTACAAAATTTGAACCTTATTTTAAATTCAAAAATAAATAAAAATAAGAAACAGAAAAGTCTGAAAACTTTCAGACTTTTATGTTACTCTCAAATGGACCTCCCCCCCCCATTTACAGAACATTTGACCTATCGTCACATTCAGCTAAAAATATTTAAAAACAGCATATCTTTAGAAATTTTATTGAATAAACATTTTTCTCCTAATTTATTTCTGTAATAATATATAGAAAATAAACAAATTACAGAGCGCCTTACTTATTACCTTACACGCACTCCCATATCACACATAAACAAGGAAGCCAAGCAAAAGGGGAGAGATTAAAAAATATGAAGTTGATTTATTATGTGGTGGATGGTGTTTCAAATCATTTAATTCTCTGTATCAGGGGTGTTTGTGGGACCCCGAAAAATCCCCTGAAACTTTTACGGACTTACTACCGACATTTTGGAGTTTCGAGAAGGGGGGGGGAGAGAGAAATGAAAAATTACAATTATGAAGTATTGAATGACCTAATTATAAAAGTTCAATGAATTACTTTTTTTGCAAAATAATAACCATAAATTTTCAAACATATAAACTACTACATTTATGTAAATTTTAAATTACCTGAATTAATTCTTTAAAAAAAATTATCTAATTTCTGCTGCTTTTTTTATTTTGATGTTTATGGGCTTGTCTTCTTTTGTGGTGAACTTCATAATTGCAGGAAGATTGACTTTTATTTTCCTCATTTACAGTTGAAGAAATTTTCCTCGAGAACTGCACATGCAGAGGTAGAAGCAGTTTGCTTTCTGCTAATGTAGAAGGTTTTTCAGAGGCTTTTATAGGTACTCATCTGAAATACATGTTTTTAAGTCCTCTTGATATGTTTTCCAACTTCTGTTCATATTCAGTAAGAGATCTTTGTGAATTGAATCAGTCATTGGATTTTTTTAGCCATATTTTTCACATTAGGTTTCTTTAGAAGAAGTTTTTCCCCTTTTCACGCATTATCACTGCCTTTGGAGAAAGAAAGGAAAAGTTTTCACCACACACACTGACCTTGCATTTTCTGCTTTCAAAGCAAACAAAATTATCCAGATCAAAATGAACAATTCATTATTATTTCTACTTCCTTTTGAACGACGATCCCCGGATCGAAGTTCAAAATCCCCGGACACCCCTGCTGTATATAATGTATTCCAAAACAAATTTATAAATCTTAATTTGCATAAAAACTGATTTATGCATATAATAACTGCTTAATCTTAGTTGTTAAATTCCTTAATAAACAAAATTTCACTATAAAAAGAACCTAGTGCAATATTCTTCTGACCAGACTACGAAACACTTTGAACTTGCAGCCTTGTACGAGTGCCTCATTCTCTTCGCTAAACATAGACTTTGCTATGTTTATTTATTCTATTCGCTAAACATAGACTTTGCTCACTGGATGACTTTTCTCCGGCGACATTGTGCCATTTACGTCACTTGTGTAGTCGTGTACAGGGGCTAGGTAGCGGTATAATCTGTAGCCAATGTACAGCCACCTAGCCCCTGTAAGGCCATGTTTCTCACCCAACTCCTTTAATTCTTCGATAAGCGCTGGATAGTGGAGGAGAGGCATGCATCTGCTTACCTCTGGTAGATGCCAAGTGCCCCTGTTCTCCGTCACCTTAACACTCAGTCGGCAGCTCAATTCTCGGCAAATGAGCGTTTTGGCCAGTTTCCCTTAGAAAGACCTCCACAAACGCATCCCTTTCCTTAGGTAGATAGCCCTCAGGTGATATGCGATAATTAAATAAGCAAAAAAAAGGGGGGAGAAGAAAAAGAAACAAGGAAAAAAAAAAATAGTTTTCTAACTGCGTGAGGACGCCATTTCAAATATGCATTGAAAGTTTATTTTTTTTTTTAAATCTTTTCAGCATATGAAATGATTCTGATGTAAAATATATTACTATCCAATTATACATTTTAAATCTGATATTCTCTTGCTGATTTAATTTTGCAATTTTCTTACACTTTTATACTGAGAAAATTCCAAATAGAGAATATTTATTGCCTTTTTGCACAACCTATTTGTGTGAACAAAGATTTTCTTCCATGTTATATTTGAGAAATAAATACAGCACAAAATTAAAAGTGGATCCTAATTTACGGTTAAAGCTAAATGAAATAAGAATGAAACTCTTAAACAAGCCCAAATTCCAGACTAAATTTTAGAATCAAAGTATTATAACTTAAATTCTGATAATTAAAATGGTAACCAACTTTTAATCTAATATGTTTTTATGTGTGCATATTTAATACAAATAGCCAACATGTTGTACAAATGGCAAAATATATATAGATTTCTATTGAGAAATTGAAAAATAATCATTGGAAAATGTAGTGGTGGTACTGAAGTTTTTAAATTTTTGTTTAGATGATAAGCCTTATGCAAAAGATTGAGAACTGCTAGCCTAGGTGGAATAACAAAGCATTTTGTAAGATATTAGATGAATATGCATTTAGACTGACATGGGGAATGTTATACATCTTCTGTATATTTAAAAGTAGAAAAATATGTAATATATATTGAATGCTTTTAATTACATATATCCTGAATTAAATGCATTTAATTTAAATTAAGCAGATTAAAAAATAAAAAAAAAATCTTAAGAACTGCATTTATTGCTTTTAAATATTTTGTTAATAGCACACACATTTATTCATTACTTTTACCTGCTCTTTTTTAATGCATTTTCCAAATCCTAGCACCTGAAGATTTCTATCAGATTCATTTAGAATTAAAAGTTTTCAGTATAAGTCCTACTATGAAACGTTTTTTCTTTAATCGTAACAAAATACTGTATCACATCCATCCATAGGTATGTTTATTCAACTTCCTCTACATGGCACTGATTTTCAATTTCTTTTGGAAAATCAGTACAATGTAGAGCTATTTCCTCAAAAGTAGTCTTTAAGGAACCAATAAATTATACTGTCATTTAAATATCATATTTTCGCATGTATAAGCTGCACCCTTAATTTTCACCTCCACTTCCCCTCCCAAAAAACATTATTGAGGAGAAGCCGCACAATGCCTATCAACCATCTACAATATAATTTTACTTTGCTTTGAAGATATGAAAGCAGCTAAAATGAAAACAGTAATTACCATTCACCACAACATTAATTTTATTGTTGACAAAAGAAACATGTTTCTGTGTTTAGCAAGCATCTCTCATTCTCTGACACTTGCCGTACTACTATAGTAGTTGCCTGCACTACCTTATCTCACTGCATATCATTCTCAGAACTGTCTAGAGCACTGAATATTCCACACTTCGAAAATTCTTTAATGACTCTTTCAGATTTAATATTTTCCCAAGATGCCAGAATCTATTCACGCACATACTTGGACATTTGATCTTTCCTTTTAGTGTACAGTCATGGTTTCCTGTTCTCAAGCTTTTAAACTTATTTAACAGTAATTGCTGCGATGCATATGCTGCTGTTTTGTCACGTTTATATGTACCTATTTCTAATCATTTCTGAGTATAAACTGCACTCCTGGTTTTAGTCTGCTTCTCTGTGACAAAAAGTGTGGCTTATATATAAAAGAATATGGTACATAATGTAGTTTAATCAGAACCTATGATAAATTTACTTGGTAAATGAAACCAACGATAACGTTTCTCTTTTCTGCACTAATGAATTGTCAAATACAAAGAGAGCTTTAAAATCTCAGAATATCATTTACAGAAGCATTATGTAATATAACAATTGAAACATTGACTGTACTTAAATTTTGATAAAACTAACATAGTAAATTGATTAAAAGGCATCTAATTCATGTTGATATCAGCATGCAAGTCATGAAAAACAAAAATTTTGAAATAAAATTTATAGCTTTATTACATGCATGAATATTTAAATTGCAAAATAAAATCTGAATGGTAAAAATTAAAATAGAATATGCGGACACGCAACCAAGAGCAAATTGCTACATTTTTCTCTCTGAACCTGCAGAAAACACACAAAAAATCAAAATGTTCTTCTCTAGACATAAGCAAAATGTTATGCTTGAAGTACACATTGAAGAAATGCATTTCTAAATAACATCAAACTTTTCTGTTTGTTAATAATAACGCTTCAGATTCTGTCAAATTGTAATACTCTATTTATTAGCTTTACAAAACAATTAAAATATTAAAACCTGTGTAGTAAAATGTGGGAATAATTTTTGTAAATAAATTTTTTAAAAGGAAATTTAGTTGATACTTAAAATTCCTAAAATTAATTTAAATATGCAGTAGACCCACAATTTCTTGTGATATGTACACATGTATGAAATAACTTTCTGAGTATTTAGTATTGCTTTAGATCAAAATACTGATCAAATCAAATTTTACAAAACAAGTCAAGTGACGGCAGTGCTATATTTAATTAATTAGCATGTCTTTAGACTGGTATTTTGCTATAAAAATTCCCATTCCCATTTATTTAATTTAAAATTTTGCATTTATTATTCTAAAATATTAGCCATTTTATAGTTATACTGTTCACTTAATTGTCTATTTTCCAGAAAGTTCACATAAATCTAAACCTTATTCACTAGTATATAATATTCATGAAAAATCAATTGCACTTGTTATTCCAAAAATGAATACTGAAAATGCACCTTTCACTTCAAAATAATACATACACTTTTTTTCAAGATATCAAGTTTAATTTTCTTTTTGCTGATTTATCACAAATCGGCAAAATAGTATTGAAATTACAATCAAATCTAATACAAATTTCTCCCATACATACAAATTGGGTTTTTGCAAATACCATCTTTAGAATATATACACAGCAACCACTGAAAATCACAGAACAACACGAGAGATAAATGTGTAGAAAGATTACTCAAAGAACAGCATCTGGTGCTTTTCCAAACACGACTCCAGAAACAATGGAAGAAGAATCTCATGTGGTGGGAGAAATAAGAATAAAATCAAATTTTTTTAGGTACCTATATTTTTACTGAATTTGAAAAAGATGCTATATGCATGAGGAATGATCGTTTCTGTACTGTACATGGCCCATGAAATACTAATGTGACTTTACAACAATTATGTCAGAAGTTCTTGCACATCTAAATGTAACAGCAGACTGATTCTCAAGATTACATCATATTAATTAAAAGTGTGGATAATTCGAACACTGCACAAGACAACTGAATTTTTCTTCCCTTATTAAAATACAAAATGAACCAGGCAGGAAATTACGTGCAAAATAAATTATTAAATAAGCTTTGATAAATTTTGATTGAGATTACCATTATTGCAATAATCATTTCAATTGCCTTGATAAGTGTATATTCTCTCCATATTTTAATTTCATAGTTAACAACACAATTTACAGCTTCTATGCACATCAGCCACACAAAAATATCTAAGTTCCATTATACATATGTGGGTACTTTATGAAAACAACAAGGGTTACAAAATGACAAAAAGTGTGCTTTATTACATACATAGCAATAACCAGTGACCATAAAACACACCAAACCTAACAGTGAAGCAACTGCCACACAAGACCTATATCATACTTCTGGAACAAGTCTGAAGTTATAATACATACATGATCAGAAGATTTTAATAAATAAGGCAAATGTATGAAAAATCTAAAATTCTTAGTCATTGCCCTCATACATTTAACCTTTGGGCAAACTCTTAATAAACTAAATAATACAGAAAATCTAAAAACACTTTTCTTCTGATAGAAGATACTGATAAGGACTGTGTGATGCAACAGCAAAGTTAAGAGAAAATACTCAGGCAATACATTTCTGCTACTTTACAGGTATGCCAAAACAGAAAAGCAATGATGAAAAGAAAGGGCTTGACGAGTTCCGCCATCAGATGGGATCTAAAAAACCTGTTTATGAGATACACAAAACTTCTCGAAAGAGTGCCGCCTACATCGAAATCACTTTTTTTTCCTACCATATGTCAGAGCAATCTGCAACCGTTATTTTCGATATTCTCTTCGAGTGAAATTTTAGTTACTGGTCCAGTAGGCATAACTTTGTTTACTGCTGTTCTTTTGCTGCCCTAGTCCTTGTGGTCCCCTCTGTCCTGCAGCTGGTGTGCCACCAGTTTGAGTTGTATCTTGCTGCATATGATGGTGAAGTAATGCCGTTGAATGGTGTTGGCCATGAGTCAAGACTGGTATGAACTGAGTAGCATATGGGCCTGAAGAAGCACCCAATGGACCAGCTGCCTGACTGCCAGCCAAGTTGAAAGGAGGTGGGGTGCCGGTATGGAAACCAGGCTTATCGTAAGACTATTAAAAATAAATGAAAAATACTCATTAAATTTACACAAAAATATGAACTACAGTGAACAATATATTTTATATTTCATACTTATATAAATATTCATAATTTGTGATAACGAACAAACATACTAATATTAAAATTCTAATCTTTAAAAATTAAAATACAAAGTATAGTATAAAAGCAATGAGGTTAGTTTTATGAAGAAGCACAAATTCATAAATTACACATAAGTAGTATCTCCTTCAACTCCCAAATGCCCCAAACAGCCCTTCATTCAAAGGACCACAACTGCCCAAAACTGGTATGTTCTTTTCTTTCCTTCCTCCTAAGGTATGCAGTAACAGGTGCAATTTCTCCAAATGCATTGTATCAGTTTGTTGCAGACAGCTTGTTCTAAAAGGATTTATTTGTGATTTTATCTTTATTTGTTAGACAGGAGGAAGGATGGCATTTTAAATCTTCAGACCTCTTTATGTGTTAATAATGGATGTGTGTTAACAATGTGTTAATAAAGAGGAGGAAACTCCTGTGAATCTAGAAAGGCATTTTAAGCACTTTAGTTTTTCCCAGTTAGTAGGCTTTGATTTTAAAAGAGTTAAAGTAACTTTAATGTAATAGCCATAATGTTGTCTCAGTCTTGATAGAACTGGAAGGCTTGAAGTGGAATCCCAACCCTGGAAGGTTTATGGATGTAAAATTTCATATAGATTGATGGCTTTTCAATTCATTACACATGAACATTTCTGCCAGCTACTGATCTATCCAATGTCAGATAAGACGGTACATTGGAAGAAAAGGTATGAAGTGAGAGGGTCATTTCGGAATTATATACAAGACAAGACAATTTATTCATAATATTTTGGAGAACTTTGAAATTTTAAGACCAAATCTCTACCACTTGAAGGGTTAAAGTAGCCTATCACATTTTTCTGAATGTGATCTTCCTTGATGAGAAACTAATTATTATTTTATAAACTAAATTATTTTATAAACGTATTTTATAAACGTAGAAACTAATATTATTTTATAAACGTATTTTTATTTGGGAGAAACGTTACATGGACTCTCAAAAATAAGCAGAGTAAGGTAATACTGAAATACACTTTAAAATTTAGCAATGGAGAGTACTATCTAATAATAAAGATTATTATGGTGCAGTATGCTAATGCCTTGAATTCTAAGCCACACGTGAGTAATCCCAGCTTTTTTTAAACTTGGCACTTTGACATAATTTGAGTCACAGAAGGCAGAGCTTCTGCTCTCAGTTGTTGTTACTTCAGAGAGACTTTGGAGTATTGGAAGCTTTGCCTTTTAGCTGCGCTTTGCATTCCATTGTGTTTAACAGGGTTCGTACACATTTCTGCCCACGGAAATTAAGTACTTTTAAGGACCACTGATGAAAAAAATTAAGGACCTACGAGCGAATGGGAACTGAATAAATTCAATTAAAAATATTATCTATGCCTGAACTTCACTTTTGTAATACCATCCTAAAAACAAAATAGATCCGTAAGTAGGATGCATTATTATTAAATATGACTTAATTAACATAATTATTATTAAGTTTGAGAATTAATTTTGAAATTTATCAGGGGCATTATATATTTTACACTTATAAGAACTGAACATATTTGAAAGAAGGTAAGTGACATTTTGTTTGCGTTTTACCAACAATTTGAAGTTTGAAGTTTATTATTTTTTTTAATGTCTGATTTTTGTCACTTTCTTGCTCAGTTTTGAGGTTTAGTAAATAGTAAGCAGATTTTATGTCAAGTGGCATAGGTTAAAATGAGAAGTAAAATCATTCAGCATGAGAACAACAAAAGACTGGCTGTTGTCATGCTTGCTGCTTACCTGCAAGTTTGTGACTCAGTTAATATACTTTAAGGTTCTAATACGCCACTAAAGCACCAGAGGAGATAAGTAGTTTTTGCATTATTTTAAGTCTCCCTTAGATGCAAAGAATAAATTTTACATGAATTTTAACATTTTTGTGTTTTATTCTTGTGACCACGGTAAGGGTTAATGAAAGACAATAACTCACTTTAATATGCAGAGATAATTTTTAAGGGCCAGCAGTAAGCAATTATAAATAATTAAATTAGGTATAAGATAACCTTAGTCATTATGGATTTACTTGGTCACTATAAAATTTTATTTATTTTAAGCCCTATTAAAATCCCAATCTAATAAAATTTCACAGTTTAAAATACATGTAATTTATGACATTGATTCTTAAACGATATTTGGATAATTACACATGAAACATTTATGTTTTTAACAATACTCAACAAAATATTTATGCGTCTTTTTAATTTTAAACCATCCCAGACATTTTGGCTAATTTATATCGATTTCCTTCTCTTCAAGCACCTTTTTTAACAATTAGGAATTTGTCTCAATACACAAAAGAATGTTCTCACTAATTTTTGCATGTTTTATCTCCTAACCTGTCCACAATGTACCTATGAAGGTTTATTTGATCTGGTAAAAGTTAGATAGTCCAAAACACATTCACAGATATGAAGCAAATTATCGCTATATCTGAAAGTAACTACAATGTCCGACAAAGGTTTAAATAAGATTCTTATTTAAAAAGAACTTAAAAAATGAAGGCAAGTTCTTATGCTAACAAAATCAATTACAGCTCATAGTGATGTAATGAAACAAGAAGAGTCAAATTCAAACTAAAAATATGGATTAGTGGTCAAAGACTACACAATTTAATTTCATTTTAGTCTGGCTCAATAACTCTATCATCATAACAAACTCAAATGTCGCCAATGGTAATCCAAGATGAATAATTACAAATTATCAGAGCGGGCAGGAACTAATGCAGTGAGCAAGTGAAGGTCAGAAACACACTCTTGTCTTGCACTCCAAAAATCTCGGTTTAAAAACTGTCTAAGTTATTTGCATTCTGGTGAGAAAATAGAAAACGGAAATTATAGTAAGGACTGAAATTGTAAACAACTAGGTAATTTACATAATAATAACTGTACATATCTTTGAAGAATAAATTTGTTTTTTGTACTCAGTTTCTTTCTTCCACGTTTCCTCTTCATTTTAGAATTTTTGGATTTAATTAAAGATTACTGATATTCTAAATAAACTAAATGCATTTAGAATGTATAGAAAAAGCTGCTCGTTTTATTTTTTTAGTAATATGAACATTCAGAAGAAATATTAAATATATATGATAAGCTTCGATTAGAGGGCTGATATGGCATAATTTTTAGAATTTAGTGACACACTGAGCAAAGTCTAGAAATGGCAAAACGTTTAGAATTTAGAACAGGCATTGCAAGCAGAATTTACGATCCACAGAAACTGCATCAGATGGGAAAATGCCTAGTGCCAGCCCTGTGTGTGATGCATTAAGATATATTAGATGAATCTTTTAAATTGTCAGTTCTCAATATCTTTATTAATAAAAGAATTCCTTTCTATAATGCCTGTCCATATGATAATATTAGAAGCATTTTTGATATTTTCCATTTTTGTGTCTACTGAAAAGTAGAGAAAATAAAGGGAAGACTAAAATGTTAAGGAAAAGATTCTAGTATCAGAAGTAAAACATTCAACTGTAATGTTTTCATTGTTCTTCCAGAACAATTTAAGCTTTAAGGAGAAAATTGATGTATGTTTTGAGAATTCTGAGACAATTACATGAGAAAAACCCTTACCATGAAAATATTAAAAATACATTTTAAATTAATTACATAGCTAGTTTGCTTTTGCTAAGAACTGTTTTGTAAATGGTGCTTTATAGCATTATACCTTGCTTATTTTCCACATATAATAAATGGCTGAAACAGAACTTTATAATATCACAGGAAAAAATAAAAATGCTTTACTTTAATCTTATTTCAGAAATATAATTAAAAAATATTACCATTATTTAAATGAAATTTATCAATGTTACAATGTTAAAAAAAAATGCCGAAAATATCCTAGACTCAGAATTAAAAATTTTCTATAGAAACAGATCTTAAAATCGCCAAAACTTTGATAAGTCGCCAAATTTAGAAGGGTTTAATAAAAGAATTCACATCCCAAAAAGCGAAAAGAGCTTTTCATTAGAAAAAATTAAATAATTTTGATATGCTCATATTTCACTTCGAGTATCCCACCATTTAATATTAGAAACAGAAACATATTATAATCCATGAACCCATTTAAAAGATAACCATATTTGCCAGCACATTGCCAAAAATATTACTCTAAAATGTTAATTCACACTCAAAATGGCAGTCATAAAAACAAACAGAAATTTCTGATGATTAAAATTAAGGACCTTTTGATGATTTTGGCCGAAATTAAGGACTTTTAAGAACCAAAAATCGATTCCAAAAAACTTAAGGACCGTACAAACCCAGGTTTAATGCTCTTAGGAGTTTGAAATGTAACTACTGTATACTCTGTGATACTGTGAATACCTGTACAAGTATTTCTGTGGAATAAGAACTTTCTGTGTAATAAGAACTTTCTGTGTAATAAGAACTTTAAAGTGTTTCGTTTGATAAAATAAATTTTATCAATCTATCATCGGACCTGCGTTCATTCAATCATTACGAGCATTACAGTAAGGGCTGAAATTGTAAACAATTGGGTAATTTTTTAATATAAATTTTGAAATCTAATCTGAAAATAACTGAGAATTTTTTTGCTTGAGTTTAAATTTTGAACTGTGAAAGAATAAAATCAAGTAATTTAATAAAAAAAAAGAAGATATATTAATAAATATATACTAAATTCAATTAACTCTAATGAGCTAAAATATTGAGATCTAATTTTTTAAAAACTACTCATGCGATTTTTACAAAACTTGACACATTGGTATAGTCAGAATACCCATGTTAGAACAATGCTTTACATGAGTCCAATATAAATCCTAAGTCGTGCTTTCGAGACATAACTGCAAGTTAAATTTTGTCAATCGGCCCAGTAGAACATGAGATTTTTGTTTGTTTGTGCACGGTGTACATGTTCAGAGCAGAGAGTGAATGTACATGCTCAGAGCAGAGAGTGAAAGTTCAATCTGAAGGTAAAAACAATGCTACCTAACATGATACACAGAGATGGAAATTTGTCCTTCCTGTGCAATGAAAGCAGTCCCTTTATTTTTTTTCCACACCATGGATTCTAATAATTATCTTCTTCTAAATAAATTATCTTCTTTTTTTTTTAAATCAAGTTGTAAACATAAGGGCTAAATATTACATTTTAAGTTAAAGTTACAAAAATAAAACATGTTCATACTTTGGCTAGCTGGGCATGTGTTTTGCTATACACTGAGCCTGAAAGGTCAGGAACTGCTCCAGATCCTATATATAAAAATAAAAAAAAAAAAAAAAAGGTTAAACTATGCTACTTAATAACTAATCATTGATACAAAAGAATCAATTAACTAATCAATGTGTATACACCTTTATCAGTGATCAACCAAGATAATGGATACATTTTGGAAGCAATTCTGTTTGCTATATTAAGCTAAATATTAATTTTAAAATACATATTAATTAAATACACAAGGGTACTTACATATAAACACAAGAACCTTAGCAGAACTCACCAAGTTTCCGGGAATGCCAAAATCTGGCAACGACACTCATAACAATCCTTCCGTAAAGCAACGCCGCCACTTTTGTATGCATTCTTTTTTGTTATATTCACATTCCAAGAGTTTTTATAACAAAAATCATGATATATATATATTTTTGCATTAAACTTAGTTTTAAAATATGAACTTGTGCAATTTGTCAGCAATGAAAGAAATTCTGATAAAATTTCTGCAGGAATACAGAATTTTGCTGAAATTCTTCTAAATGGAACAACAAGGAAATGTGTTTCCTAGATAGCTGCTGCTGCCGAGGTTTACATGAAGCCAAGTTTTCCAATTCGGTTATTTTTATTAAGCGAAAACAGATCACTCTAAACAGCACAAAACAATTACAGAAAGATCTGAAGAAGAATATAATTGTTTTATTTTTTTAATGTATCATGTAATCCTTATTTAATAATTCAAATTTTTACTTTAAATTGCTAAAGTATGTTTTCTTTTTGTATGTTGATAATGTTTACAGATTTAGGATAAATATGGATAGTTTGGGAACCTTTCTTAGAAAAAGGTGAGAATGAAAATCACCAACTTGCACCCGATATGTAACTTCTGCCTTTTTGTCTGCAAAAAATGACTAAATTGTGCCAAGATGGTTGTGTTAATATGTAAATGCCAACAGTTATACACTTAAATTTAAAAAAAATCCAAAATGTATTATCTTAAAACCCATATAAAATAATATAAATTATAAAAATTTTGACACATTAGTCAAGCTAGGTTCTGTACATAATATTATGAGCCACAAAATGTTTTGAATAGCCAGAAATAAGGCATGATTCTATAAAAAAAAAGAAAGAGAGCAGTTTACTAGCATCCTTTTTAATACTTGCATCAGTCTTTTACAGAAATTGATAAACATCCACTGAATATAGAAAGAAGAGTATTTAAATTTTTAAACAAAATTTTACTTTTAGGGTTTTTAAAGATTGCATTCATCCTCAGTTTACTCTGCATATTTCTATGCATTTGTACCATATTTTACACAATTTCATAATGTACATAAAATCTTAAAAAATTTATGAAAAATCTCAAAAATCTAGCACAAAAAATTAATTAAAAAGATTTGGTTGTATTTGAAACTGTATTTGCTTGTCTTTAATTATGAAGAAATACACTGTGCATGCACATTTTTCAGTGTTTTACAACAGCGGATGAATTCCATTATATCTATTTTAGACATGCAAATCACCATAAATAATATAAAAATACGTATCTCCACCCCTACAAATTCTTTTCCATTACGATTATATCATTTATATTTCAGTTAAGATTTTCAAAATTTATACTGATTATATAAATCATATCTTTGATAGTGATAATACCAAATAGTTCAATAGAAGTTACTAATGTTATGTTATGGCACATTTCACACAAACTCTATATGTTGCTTGAAAATTGCTTGATTAGTTAAGAGTAAAAAAGAGAAATAAGTTTGGTTGTTATAAGCTTGGCAACTTTCAGAGGGTTCTTGAAAATGTAGTCAGTTTTGCAAAACTTCACATTAAGAGACATGTTACAGAATTTTCCAGAAAAATCTTATTAAAACTTTATTTCTCTCCCCTCAGGCCTTTTCATTAATGTGCATACCCTAGTATAGGACAGTGAGCCTTCAGCATTAAAAATTTTTAACATTATCCTTAAATTAAAAGAGTTAAAGTAATTACTTCTCAATTAATGGTAAGCCCTCCCAAAAAAAACCTGAATATTTGCATTTATTAAAGAATTCTTACCATTCAGTTTATTATACAGATATCAAATACAATGTATTATTTTAAATAATGTATATTAAAGCAGAAGATAGAATATATTTTGCCTTTCCCTAGTACTATTTGGAAAAAACAATGAAAAATGTTTAATATCAATATATTTTGTGTAAAATCCAATTGTAATAGAAATTACAAGTATTATAACTACCCTGAAACTAATCTAGTTGTCTACTAACCCCCCTCTACACAAACAAGGGAGACACTTTAAAAATGAATAAAATAATGGTTTTCATATAGCTCTTTTAAAAAATGAATATTTTATTCTTATGCATAATTAAAAAGTTATGAGACAAAAGATTTTATGCTTTTCAAAGCATCTTCTTAAGAATATGTCTAAATCCTACCTGAAACTCCTTTAACTTGGTTCTGAGAAGCAGCACCGTAAGTACCTTTAGTATAATCCTGCGCTTGAGTTAGACTTTCATAGCCTGAAAAAATAAACAAACGAAAATAAATTGGGTGACACCAATATGCACAAAACGTAACTAACAAAACATTTTAAAAGAAAATTACAAGTTCTACTTGCTCTCATGCAGCAGAGGTCAAATAAACTAAAATCTGCTAAACAGCAATATCAACATTAAACCAAAGACAACTTCAACACTGCATGATGTAATAAAGATATATTAATATATGTGTTACTTGTTTTTATTAATATATTACTATTTGCTCTCTACAGCACTAGTAGCGGGAGCAGTTGTGATCTCTCGAGGTTGGGAAGGATTGGATTTCCAGAACCAGCCATTTAATAGGAGTCCCAGGGTTTGATATGAACCTTCTGAGAGTGAGTATAGAGAGTGAGTATAGTTACAGGGCAGCGACGTGCATCACATAGACTTTCCTGTCCTAGTCCGACATAGGCTTCCTCGTGGCCCTGCTGGTAACCAGTTTCCCCTTAGCTGACCATGTTCGAACAACCAGCCCAGTGTATTGGCTAGATCAATAATCTAGATAGCCTCGACTACTGGTGTAAATAATCTGTCTTCCAGCACTAAAACCATTGCTCATTTGGTAGGTTCCGGCTCGGTAGGGACCATACTGGTAACCATACTGTCTTGTCTGCCCCTTGGTTGAGAAGACATTACATGGTTTGATATTGCAGGTTGTATGGGGAAACAGGCTACCCTTGGTCAATACTGAGGGACGAATGATGCCAACCTTCTGACTTTATTCATTTTCAATTGATGTTAGCCATCCAACATTGTGCTTGAATACATATACTGTGCACGTTCGGTTGAAAGACTACGTTATTCCAAATTAGATGGCTTTAGGTACAGTTGTTTTTCCACAGTGCGAGAAACATTCATGCAGATTCTTCATTATTTAGTTTTTTTATATATAATACATGATGATAATATTTGATGGCAACAGTTAAGCGAATCAACATAGAACGTAAAATGATATAAAATGCCATTTTGAGACTAACTCTTTGGGCTTAAAAAATGTGATACCTTCTGTGTATTACATACTGTGCATGATTAACTTTGTGGTGCATTTTGCTGCAACCAGTTCTTGACTAAATAAATCTATTCTGGTAACAAACAATGTTGTGACTAAGAGATTTTACTCTCTGCACAAGGAAAGCGTTCAGTATGTTAGTGGATAAGCTAGATCTAAACTCAGCTTGATTCTTCTACATGATTCTGAAAATCCTTTCAGTCAGTGCAATGCTGTAAGGTACTAATAAAGTAGTCAACATTACCCTGCTAAACTTTCTAAATTTTTCAATCCCACTATTACGATCCTGCAATCTTGAAATATTGTGTTATTTGAAAAGTAGCAAGAACTTTCTCAGCCAAACTGGTGAATTGATAAGCAGTAAATTCAGTTTCCAATTGGTCAGCATCGACAGACAGATTTCTGTAAATAATGCACTGAACAGAAGAAAATAAAACTTCCTTTCTCAAAGAAACATTCACTACTTCTGCATGCTTCAGAAACTCACTATTGATGTGCATTTTCTTGGGCATTTCAACTGCAATATGAAACAACATAGGAGTACACATTTACAGAACTTGTACTGTAATCTGAATACCATTAGTACCTAATGCAAACAGCACATTTTGCAACAGTTCCACAATTTCTTTTCTCAGAGAATCCATCAACCACTAAGCCTTTCCCCTCACAATTTCTTTCGCTCTGCCAGAATCAAGAAACGCTGATCGAAACAAATAATTTGCATGATCAGTGTAAATAATTAGTACACTAAATTTCACCAGACATGATGAGAATAGAAACTTCGAGTCGTCCATATTGTTGCAATTAAAAAGAAAAAGCCTTTAATTTTATGCAGTCATTATTCATTTATCAGCCTGTATGTGCTACCACCTATAGTTGTCACAACCTTGATGACCACCGTACCTGACCCTCTTCACTGTAACTTTGTCTACATTTTCTAAGAACATTTTGCCTCTTTGAACTTTGCCTCTGTACATAGTAATAAGTACATTTATCAGAACTTCAACAGGCAACCTACTAAAATTTGACATAGCTCATGTGTACATATAATGTCAACACAAAGTTGAGTCGATATGATATATCAAATGTGGTATAAGCACAATTGTACGTGTAGATTTTTCACTTTTACTCTTTCACGCAGAACACTCATACGATTGCAATTTGGCACTTATGATAGCAATTATTGTTACATCCATACCAGATGGCATCCTTATATGTTAAAAGACGGATGCAAACTATTTTTTTATGTACTGCAACCCAAGTACTAAAACCTTTATCGGACGACTTATCCTAGGCCGAAGCATCATCATATATTCTCTTAATATTTGACGAAACTGCTAATTAAAAAGTATACATAAATCAAATACATTTAATAAAACAATACTTACTAATCAGAAGGAATTAATAAGTATTATGCCAACCCTTGACAGAAATTGCATTTTGATAACTCCTTTATGAGTTTCAACTTCCTAGAGTATTTGAAAAAGCTAGAAATGAGAGCAATTGGAACAGCTCAATGCAACAACTGTCCAGCAGTGAACAACAAAGAAATGCACGAAGAAAGGGGGGAACATGGTGAGTAACGACTATTAATTTGATTCTGAGCATGAAATTTTAGTTGCCAAAATCTTTAACTAAATACTAAAGATACAGGAGGCATGATCAAAATGGACTGGAATGTTTAGAAGCACAAAACAAAAGCCCCAAAAGAGATCCTATATCTTAAAATCAGAAACGTTTTTCCTAAATTGATATTTCATCTTTAGTTATGTAGAAATGCAAATATTTCACTCTTCAATTAGCGGTTGGCTTCCGAATATAATTTCACACTACAACTAAAAATATCATTATCAATTTCAATCTCAATTGTAAACCGTCACTAAAAATAAAAAGGACCAAGTGGCCCCATAAAAAGTTTGATTTTGTAACTTTTGTAAACTGGTTTGTGTTAAGAATTTAAAAATGCCCCCACCCAAAAAAAATTCTAGATCATTTAAAGCTTTTCTGTAATTGGAAAAATATACTGTTGCACACATATAAGTTTGTAATAGATTTAAACCCTTAACTGCCGCGGACGTATACACCCTTTCAAACTACTATCATTTGCTTTGCGCTGCTACCCGTAAAATTATTCACAAAGCTTTGGAATGCAACACCACAATAACCTTGACAGATTATGCGAAGGAGGATACTATTTCAGAGAAGTGTGGAGAGAAATTGGAGAGAGCTAAAGCGATGTGTCTAAAGCGATGAATGTAATGACTGCGTGATATTGGCTGGTGTTGTTTGAGTAAAACATTTTTTTTTTTATTCTGTGTCCTCCGTTTTCGTTTACTTTTTGTAGGAGGTTCCAGGAATAAAAAAAGATATAAAGGATGTTTCAAACCCATTTATCTTTTTTGAATTATAGTTTGATGAACTGCTCATGTTTCATATTGTTACTGAAACTAACCATTTTGTAGACGAGTATATGAACCAACACCTTGCAAATGAAAAATCAAGAACAAAATCATGACATTCAACCAGTTCAGAAGAAATATATGTTTTCTTAGGCATACTGATTTCACATGGTATAACACTGAAACCTGATATTACACTTTACTGGTCTAAAAATGTCGATCGAAACTTACATCTTTTTATTATACTTTTACTCAAAACATGAAAATTTTGTGCATTCATTTTTCCTTTATTCTTTATTTTGTGAAAGTAAACAGTTTTTAGAAAGTAAAACCTGCACTTATTTTCCCCCAATACATCGCATAACTACACGCACCTGTGTGAAAAACCACGGCATTGGGAAATGAATCTTGTACGTTACAATAAGTTTTGGAACTTTCTACAAAAATACTCGAGCAGCTCTTTATAGTACCTCAACCAAGAAATCTCTAGCACCTTCCACTTCTCGAAATTACTATGAACGTATGAGGACCGGATATGGTTACACTTACATATAGGGATCAATTACATTTATTCAACCACAATATTAATTAGTCATACAGAAATAAGACCACAATGTCATCATGTCTGGCGGCTTTTGGTGACTTCTTGCCAAAACTATCACCAGCTTGGCAATATCTCGCTGTGAGATATCCATTCACCTCAATGTTAAAGAGACTTGCCCTGTACTTTTATTTTTCTCGCAAACTTCACCACTTCCAAGCATTTCTTGTTAATACATTATGCAAAAAATACTATAATTTCACTAAAAGTATTTATATATACATAAAATCTGTTCAATGAAGTGAAAATAAAGGCTGCATATTAACTTGCGTGCAAACACACACACCTGAAATTCTAAATAATTACCTGAGTTATAAGAGTGGGAGCCATATGCATTAGCTTTCTGGAACTGAGTATTTGTAGTCGCACCATGAGTGTTAGTTGCAGGAGGAACCTGTAAAAGAAGTGCTAACGTAAGCAACATGTTCGAACTACTAACACTGTTGAGGATAACAAAGGAAATGGCAGATTTACCCCCCATGAGACTCCCTTTCAGATATTACAAAGGATAACAACGATTTTGACGATAGTATATAATCAGCCATACATATTTTAAAAAGGTGAATTAGAAGGGGCAAAAAGTTGATTAATAAAGAAGAAAACATTTTAACTATACCATATAACTTTAAAAGTTAATTTCAAAAATAATTATTAGTCATGCAATATAAGCTACATTCTTCATGACACTGTGCAGCATTAATATATTTTTGTAACCACAAAAGAAATTTTAAACACATTAGATTGGAAAGCAAACTGCGTCATTTTAAAAATCATTTCAATAATATTAAAATGCATAGACAGATAGATACACTCTATTACATGTTTATTATTTATGATTTAACACAACCAAATATTAAAAAAAAATTAACCCTTTAAGCTGCTTTTATCTGGTCATGCAATTTGTTGCACTGTTAATTTAAAATACTTTACTCTCCCCAGGGCTTATGCATATTTCTTTGCAAAAAAATAAAAAAAACTTCTAAAGACCACAACAGAAAAAATTAAGGACTAGCAGTCCCATATACAAAATTTCAATGTTGTATGGCTACTTACATATAGGGATCAATTACATTTATTCAACCACAATATTAATTAGTCATACAGGAATAAGACCACAATGTCATCAAGTCTGGCGGCTTTTGGTGACTTTTGGTTTTTGAGTTATGCGAGATACATACAAATCTCTTCTGAATCCATTTTATAATCTACTTTCAGTCTGTACATACAGATGTCATGCAAAAACATTGTTTAAATGGATAATTTCATTGAAATATGACACCCGAAATTTTTAGCAGCAAATATAATACTTCCTTTACTTCATATAAGGAAGTAAAAAAGGATATTATTTTATTTTCAGCAATAGCAAAACACTGCTCTTATTTGTTAATAAAAGAATTCACATTTGTGCTTTTAGGTGAAGGAATATGTACATTCAAAATTCGGTGGGACCATGGTCTTTCCAGAGGTGATGAAGAAACATTAATTTTTTGCATTCAAATAATAGATATTTCAAACAGATCTACTCAATAATAAACATTTTTTTGAAAATCTTTCGAACACAGCAATGAATGGACCTCGATTCAAATGCTTCTAAACTTATATTATGAAATTTTTAATTTTGTCCTCACAGTAAATATATGTGAATATGCTTCACCATGAATTCAATTGCACCAACTATCTAAAATTTGGCATGAAATATCAGTATTTTATAGAATATGAATATCAGCATTAATATCATGATATCAAAACAGCATCAAGAAATACTGATATTATTAGTATTAAAAAATATCAGTATTTTGGAATGCATAAAAACATAGCTAAATTGAATTATAATTTAAACAATTTTACAAAAACTTAAGGTCTCGATAGTAAAAAGTTAATCCATAATAAAACAGAAATAAAAAATAAATAAAATAAAACTACTGGAAATAATACACAGGTCCACATATGCACACCATAATGCTTAACACGTTGAGCGCGGCGCCGGTCCCTGGGGAGCGGCAGTGAACTTTCCGTGTGGCCGGCATCGGTCCCTGGGGACAGGCACTGGAATTTTCGTTTGGCTGGCATCCGAGCAGAGTATTAAAGTTAAAAAATAAGTATAGTCTCAATAAAATGTGATCAAATATAGTTTTAATGAAATGTATTGAAACATTCTAAACAAAAATACGGCTTATCTCGCTGCCGGCTGAATGGAAAGGACAGCAAACTCGGCGCCGCGCTCAACGTGTTAATTTAGAAATAGTAGTATATTCATACATTTTACAAGTATAATGAACCCACTTTAAGAAAACATAATTTCAAATGACCTGGGTCTTCAGTAGAGATGTTTATATAGGGATGTTACCAATTATGTGCTAAAAAATAGCGATCACTTTGAGAAATATAGTCAGGAAACTTACTGCCAGTTTCAAAGTTCTGTGTACTTAGCAAAACCTTTTTATAACTTTTACATTTCAGTTTACTGGTTAATACTATTATAGTTATCATAATTAGTGTTTCCAATAATAAAATTTTTACATATCATGGTGTTTTTACCTTTTCTATTTTGTGTGTATGCATGTGGTATGCACGTTCGCATGGATACAAAGAAATTGTCAGTTATTATTATTAATTATTAGTTGAATGAATGTATAATTTTCAATTCTAATAAAAATTACAAAGTGTTTCTTATAAAAAAAATAGCTACAGAAATTCAAAGAAAAAGTGATAGAAAACTTTAAAAAATATACCAAAAAAAGGACAAACATAATTTGAGTACAAATAGCACTTCTCTTACCGGGAAAATAGGTGGAGCAGCATAATGTGGAATGCCACCTGGCATCATGCCACCAGCAAAATAATAGCCATACCCTGGAGGAAGAGCAGCAGGGTTGAATAATGCTTGGCCATGAGCTTGTGTGCTAGCTTGCCCTTGCGATAATGTAGTAGCAACTGTGGAGGCATCAGTATCAGCTCTACTGTACTTGCCATCCGCTATAAAAATAATAAAATATGCTGAATTTTTATGTGGTATCAAAACATAGCATTATTAAAATTAAGAAAGGATTAAAATGTGGTACCAAAAAATTGTTTTAGATAAGATATATAAAAATTTATGCATCACATTAAAGTCATTGATGCATTGTTTGCCAGGTTTCCCATTTGAGGATTTTGTGCACATGTCCTACTGAATGAAGTAAGTTTACAGTTGATATAGTGCAATACATTTACATTTACATGAACTTATTTTCCCTCTATTCTAGTACACTGGTTATCATAAATTAAGCAAAAATCACAATTACTGAAAACGTTACATGTATAATTTAATGAAACTTACCCACAATATACAACACAGAGTAAGGTATCAAATAACATATAAAAAGAAATTACCAGACAAATATGATAGTATAGAAATTAGCACATGTATAAAATGAACAAATTGAAGGTGTCAGTTTGCTATAGGAAAAGTACCTTCAATATGGAATATGATCGCCTCTAGAAGTAATACACATCAGCAATGTGTGATGTTTTCAATTATGCGGTCTATCAGTTCCATAGGAAGTGAGAGCCATTGCTCTTGCAAAGCAGTTGCAAGCACGACTAGGATATGAGGGGGCGGATTGAGAGCAGCTAGACGTCTCCATAAAGCATCCCAAACATGCTCGATAGGATTCAAGTCAGGGGGTCGAGATGGCCACACCATGCGCATAACTGTTTCCTGTTGAAGATAATCATCTACGATGCGAGCCCTGTGTGATCTTGCGTTGTTGTCCTGTAACAGGAAAGCATCGCCTATTGCCCCGGAATATGGGCACACATAAACATCAAGGACGTCATCTCCATAAATCTGAGCATTCACGTTTCCCCTTGGAAAGACATGGAGGTCTGTGCGTCCATGTTGTTGTGCCCACTGAAAACGGTCCCTCCTATGGCGTGCCGTTACCGCACACAAATGGGTGGTCGCCTCGCATACAGACCACCTTCGTGAAGCCTTTTACGCACAGTTGACGTTGACATGAACCTTCAGGTGGCTGCAGCAAGAGAGGATCTAAGAAGAGTTGGAGTAGCGGTTCTATTCCTGCGTGCACATAATGTCAAATATCGGTCATCGGCGCTCGTCGTAGCAGTTGGCCGTCCTTAGCTGAATCTGTGGTTTGAAATTGCCTCCAAAGTCTATGAACCACAGAAGGGCTCACATTTAGCCATCTGGCCACTTCTGTTTGACTGTCCTGCCTCTAGTCTCCCAATGGCTCTCCATCACAGTTCTGCAGGCAAATGATGCCTGGAGGTCATTGTTACGAATTGGCTATCTCAGATTTTCTGATGTCACTGTCACAGTGAAATATGTGGGCTTGCTCTCAAACATGGACTTTTACACTTCTCGCAGATGACGTATTCCGAAAGGAGCGCCACTAATTTGCATATCGCAGTTTTACTCAGCTACTCTTAATTGGCAACATATTCAAATTTAATACGGTTTGGCTTATTTGAGGGAGTTATCCCTATTTTTGTGATTTTTCCTTAATTTATGATAACCATTTGTAATTTGTAATTTATGGTGTTGCTTTTTCTCTAGGTGAAACAGAAATTCTGAAATTAAAACTGAAAATTCATTCCTATATTTGCAATTACATTATTCACTTATTTTACAAAAAAATTGCATATTATATAGATATATATGGGAAACCAGAAAGTAATGCTATCTTTTTACATTAAATAAAAAAAGTAAACTTTTTAATCAATAATGTAATCACCCTCATCATCAAAAATATTTTTGCCATCTGACAGTGCAAATTTTCAATGCTAGATCAATAAAAATCAATTGGAATTTGAGCAAAATATCTAGAGATGGAATTTTGAATATCATCTAAATTTTCCTTTTTTTGGAGGGGGGGATCATATAGTAAGTGCTGTAACACTCAGAATACATGGGAATCCAACAGTGCAATGTCGGGCAAGTACAGTGGGAGAAACAATATGTTCCATTCCAATTAATTAATTTTTTCCAGGCTTTGTCATGCATTATGTTGCAGAATAATGCCTTTTTTGCTGACAAGCACTGGACACTTTTCAATTAAAGGTTAATTTACTCGATCCAATTGTTCACAGGTCTGTAAAGAAGTACCTGTCGAGTTTTTAAATGGATCTTCATTCAACAAAAAGAAGCCTCTCAAGCCCACTTAACCTTCCAGCACGCGCGCGTCGTATTTTTTTTACAACATCCGTTATTTTACCGTTTTTGGCACGAAAATCGACAGAAATGAGTGAATATTAATAATAAATTTGTTAAGAAATAAAATATTAATCTTATTATTGCAAAATACGACTGATATCACATTCAAATATAATTATTTTTAAGTTCTTATGTTAGTTAGATAGAAATGCAATACGATGTACTTCATTACAGAAAATTTTAAATTTATTATTTAATAATTACATTTTAAAAAAATCGAAGCTAATTTGAATATTCATCAAAGGCAAGCATAGACAAAAAAAAAAAAAGGAAAACACCTTAATACGAAAAAAAGTAAGCTTAGCATTACATACTTTGCAAGGAAATTACTTCTTACTGGTTACAAAAATGCACTTTAAACTAACTTTAATATTATTTATTCTAAAAAATAAACAGAAAATAAAGAAATAAGAATGGAAATCACTATTCTTCTCCCATCGAAAGGTTTCCTTGTCTTCCTTTTCTTCATCAGATAATTCTTCAAGAATGCGAGGAAAATTAGCTGGTTGCACATATTTTTTGCCATGAAAACCGATATAAAATTTACAGAGCCAAATGTTTTCAAATTAAAATAATACATGGCAATTAATAAGACAAAATTACAAAATATTCGACAGAAAAAATATTTTCCTAATTTTCACCCATGACCATGCGCATGTTGTAACTTTCACAAAAAAAAAAAAAAAAATTACTTTCTGTTGGCACATTCCATGATGTGGTGAAGGGTAGAAAGGTGGAATAGAAATGACATTCAGACATCTGTTTCGATATGTAGTGCATTAAAAACTGAAGTTGTAAATTTTGTGCATACGCAAATGCTAGAAGGTTAAAGGCAGCAAAAGATGGATGCAAACTTTTCTTTTATGTACTGCAACTCAAGTTTTATAAATAATAAAATTTAATTGACTAAACATTGCAGTTCAATGATTTGAAGAATTCTTCAATCAGCCAAAGAGCTACATGTGACAATTTGTGCTAATGCGACTAAAAATATTCCCTGGTAATTATTAATAGGCACCATTCTATGCCACAGGAAAAAACAAAGATGGAGACATAAGGAAACATACAAATCCTTACATATTCCTAGAAACAGAGATTTCTGCAGACAATCAGCTTGCCTCCTCACCAAAAGTCTGGTTGGTCTCGTCACTGCCAAGACCTTGCAGATCTTACAGAATCATTTGTAATTGGTACTGTGAACCAATCATCCTTGGCCACTAACTATTTTTTTAATGGCAGAGGAGAAGAATATGCAATAGAGGAACCTGTGCAGGTTGCTGTTCCTTTTAACCGAGGGCAGAACTTGTGAACTTTGGAGCCATAGCCTGGTCACCACACTGATAAAGTCATCAGCATTCTCTGGTGTAAGCGATTTCAGCAACATTTTCCTTGCAAGTGGAGAGCACAGCAAGCATTAATCTTTAGGAATAGCACAGTGTATTTTCAAAACAATTTAATATCAATGATCAAATGATCCATTATTACACTCATTATTACCTCCAAAAAAAAAGTTATAAGTGAAAAGCTGGTCAGATTTGGATTTAAACAATGGACTTCATTTCCAATAAAGCTTCATTTCCATTTCCAATAAAGCTCTGGTTTCAAATGATTGTGTACAAGAGATAAAACCTCTATCCTAGGCAGAAGAATCATCATATATTCTCTTAATATTCGACTAAACTGCTAATTAAAAAGTATACATATATCAAATGCATCTAATAAAACAATACTTACTAGTCAGAACGAATTAATAAGTATTATCCCAATCCTTGACAGATCACAAATTGTATTTTGATAACTCCTTTATGAATTTCAACTTCCTAGATTATTTGAAAAAGCTTGAAATGAAAGCAATTGGAACAACTCAAGGCAACAACCGTCCAGCAGCAAACAACAAAGAAAGGGGGAACATGGTGAGTACAACTATTAATTTGATTCTGAGCATGAAATTTTAGTTGTCAAAATTTTTAACTAAATACTAAAGATACAGGAGGCATGATCCAAATGGACTGGAATGTTTAGAAGCATAAAACAAAAGGCCAAAAGAGATTTTCTGCTAATTATAAATGCAATAGATGATCTAATAAATGCTTATGAACTTTAGATCAGCCATCTAGTACAATTATTTTTATTCGAGTATGGATGCAAACTAAGCCCACGTAATGGTGTCATCTGAACAATCCAATTTGAAGGAAGCATTAATGCAATGGTCCAACTGTCATAGTCCTAAGGTGTATGACTCTGCTTCCACTGTGTAAAAAGATTTAGAAACCAATAAAGTTGCACATATGTGAAACTGCAGCTCATTCGCGAAGATTTCAACCGAATGTCACTTTCTGCTGTCTAAGTCTTTTGCTTACTAGTCAGATACCACACTGGCATTTGGTTAAACAGTTAGAATTTACACAAAATCCTTATAGTTTCAATGACACAGGAAGGTCTGGTTTCCTGATAAACAGAATTTGGCTAATGCTCCATTTGAAATTCGTACAAGGAGTTTCTGAATATTAACTACAAAGCATGACTTCATACACATCACACTGAAATAAATTCATCTGCAACAAAGGACGGATGGCCAAGAAGTTCTTCATTGTGGACTTATGTGCACGAAATCTGAATTTTCAGGTTCTCTTTGGCCTCACATACAACAGCAAGAAGAACCTCTATTGTTGCACACAAAGGCTTATAAACATCTGACTCCCTGAACAGACCTTAGCTGTTAACAGTTCCATGAGCACAGTATTCTTCTCCCATTACTTAATCATAATAAGGACAGAAGTCCCATCTTCTCTTAATATTTGACAAAACTGGTACTTTAAACATATAAATAAATCAAATACATCTAATAAAGCAATACTTACTAGTATAAGCTACACTTCCCATGCCTGGGTCCCGACCAGTCATGCTAGTAGGAGCTTGGAATTGCATATCATAGTATCCCTATAAAAAAATTACGAGCAATAAATCTCCAATTGGCATTGCTCTTTCCAAGTGCATTTGGAAAAGAAACCATAATAAAACAACCTAAAATAGCTAACTTATAGTTTTGGTACACTTATTATTGGTATTTGAGAACTATGATATGTTAAGTACTGATTGATATCCCAGTACTAACGAAGCTGAAATATAGATACACTAAATATTTATGCACTTTTACTGGTTACATTTGAGTGCTATCATAATGAAACAGAAGGTCAAATTATACTGTCCTACAGAAATTCTATTGTTTTGGAAATGCTAACATTTTCTTAATGGTATTTATTTACTTAAACAATTAAAAAATAATTTTTATAAATCATAATCACATATAAATGGTGGGAATTCTGCTTTCCTTCTTCAACCCCTTTTAAGATCATATGTTAATTTAAATACTCAATGCTAAGATGTCTTGTCACTGCACAGCTTCCAGAGTAACTTACGATGTCAAAAATTTAATATTTTCCAAGATGTAATTCATACCAGATGGCATCAGGATGAATCACACCAAATGTAGGCAAGAAATGTTTCACTTACTCAATTAGTGAAGGTTTCATAGCATTTAACAATATCACTTGTTGGACTACATGCCCATGATCCAAAAGGGTTAGAAAAACTTTAGATATGACAAGGGTTTATAGAGTTAGAATGACCATAATCACGTGTTTTAAGCAATAACATTTGTGAAAGATGAGTTATTATATGCTTAGTTAACAGTTAGGCTAAGTGGAAAGGTATTTGCTCTAAGTATTCTGAAAAGGATGCCTGTTAAAAAAAAAAAAAAAAAAAAAAAAAAAAAAAAAAACTATGCTTTTTGGAATATCTCTAGTATGGTGAGAAACAGAAGACCATAAAAATTTTATTCCACTTTTGCAGTATGAGGATATTGTTAAAAAGAACTGAAGAGCCTGTGAACCCTAAGCGCTAATGTTTGGCATTTGCAAAATAAATACTTTCCATTTATCATATTCATTACAATGAAATTAGATACACAATAAGAGAACAAAAGTTTTCAATTATCTTAATATACAATAAAATCTGTTGAACATTATGATCTTGATATGTTAGAGCCCATTATACAGGCTTTATTACAAAAGAGAAGGGGGAAGCCAGTTATTTACACAAACAAAATTAACCAATTTGATGACAGGTGATCTTTTGAAACCAGCTTTGAAATGTTTAGACAATATTTAACATTATCAGTTATGAGCAGAGCCAGCCAACCAGTATAGTGGTTAGCGTCGGTGTTTGTAAATGTATAGTCGGTGCAGCAGGGCACCACTGCACTTAAATATATGGTGAGCTGAAAGTCTTCTTGTATGGTTTGGTGGAAAATTCGTCCCCCCAGGGTGCTCTCCATCAAAATTGGGGATGGAACCGAGCTAGAATCGCACTGTCACCTGTTAAGTGCTCAAGGCTGATGCTAATGACAGGCGTAATCTAGCGCTCCTTGTCATGAGGAATTTCATGAGCTTGGGCTGAATATGTCAGACACGTGAGCATAAGCAACAACAGTTATGAGCAGAAATTAATTCCATACTTTCCATTTAAAAATTGGCCCTCTTACTACTACTGTCTTCGAGCTGTGGCTATTCAACAATTATCAATTCGTAGCTACTCTTTTGTAAAGGCATACTGTCAGATTTCAAAAGTGCACTTCAAGCTCTACTGAATAATCAAAATACTTCCCAAAGAACCTTATTATTTCCAATGGATACCAGCCCATGTGGAATTATGTGAAACGAAAAAGCCTGATACACTGGCTAAAAAAGAAACTTTTGATAATGCATTAATCAACTTTTTTTTTTTTTTTTCCCCTCCATATCACTAAACTGTTTGTTAACCTTCTTAAGCAGGATATGATTCAACGTGCTATGGATAAGAGATAGAATATTTTGGGGGAGGAGACAACTTTCATTCCCAGTTTTCTAGGAAAGACAGCGATGTCTGACCGGACATGACCGTTTGCGAGACCGCATCTACAGAACTGAAGAGGTGGATTCACTGGACTTATTTTGTGGGACTCCAATCAGTCTATGATTTTTTAACATTTAAATAACTGTATTACACTTTTGCAGTATGAGGATATTGTTAAAAAGAACTGAAGAGCCTGTGAACCCTAAGCGCTAATGTTTGGCATTTGTAAAATAAATACTTTCCATTTTAGAAAGAGTCAGTTTATTGTAATGATGTTAAGTAATCTCATAAAGAAAATTATATCCAATGATGATTCCACATACGAATAGAGGTTACAGTAGCTTCACATAACAGATTTTTGAAGGCTCTACTTCTTCATAACAACAGACATCTCTCAGTACCGGTTGTAACTTCTACACAAATGACCAAAAGTTTAAAAAATATCTCTCACAACACATAGCAAAGATTACATTGTCCTCTTATTCAGGGTTACAGTATTTTAAGAATGAGAACCCCACACCATGTGTGTTTACTGATGGATGACACATGAAAGCCCAATGGAAAGCAGTAAAAAATGCTCATGCCCAGGAAACTTGAAAAACTGACTTCGGTGATTAGATAGCTTACTATATGCATGTTACACAAGCCTGTACAACAAAGAAAAACTGATATACACGAATTAAAAGGAAAGTATATAGAGTTCACAACAAAGTATTCAAAAGTAGATTGCACATTTTTTGCAGCATTTATTTATGTTCTGGAACTGATGAGGAAGGCTGGGATTCTTGTTTTTGTACCACTATTGCATACCTTTGATTATCTAAGACTTTCTTTGGAAACTCTTAATTGAATTTCACATGTTCATAAAAATAAGTATGTGAACATTTACAATTACGGGGTTCATAGCCACATTTTAGTTAAAAAAATAAGCACTTATAAGCACTTTTCAAGCACATTTTAAGAAAAAAATAAGCACCTGTATAATTACATTATACACAACTGCGTAACCTTAAAAATTAGACTTGTAATTTAAAATATGAGAAATGCAGTATTTATTAACAGAGAATAAGCATTACCTCAACCATGGAAAATAATTACTTTTTTTTAATTTTTAAATAAACAGTTCAATTTACAGAACTAGTTTACAATGAGAGAAAAAAAAAAAAAAAAACTATGCAGAACTAAACTACTATTACAAGATTTAATGATGAAATTTCAGTTCAAAATAGAGAAAATAAATAATAATAAAGCATATTTATTGTATTTCGCTTGGAACTAATAATAATAATGTATTTATTTTTCCTACTCATATTGATATTTAAATAATTTAAATCTAAATTCTGAACATTTTCTAAATTTTCATTGTATATCAGTTTTCCCTTAACAAATATTGCAAGCAAAGTAATTTAGGTAAAAAAGAGGAACATTTCTGAAATCAGAAGACAGAAATTTGCTTAATGCAGTCATCCTTTAACAGTAAAAGCTTAACTAACATGCATACTTGGAAATTGGCGAATATTCGGACAGTCGATCGTAACTTGAAAAAGAGGAGCGGAAGGGGTGTAGGCAGTTGCTGCTCTTTAAAGTGTTCCGCTAAATAAATGCTTTTGACATTTCGATATGTGCATCATATAAAAATTAATTAATGGAACTGAAAAATATTCTGCTTAGCAAGCACAGTAAAACTCTTTTAAGTGTTCATAAACAAATCTCAGACTGACAAAACATCAAAATTAATTATCTTCGCAAAATACCGCAAAAGTTATTCGCGCAAATGTTATTGCGATAGTGCAATACGTTATTGCGCAATACGTGCGGCGTAATTCTTCCACTACGTGATATTACGCAATCGGAATCAACAGCTGCCGGTATTCGGAGAATAAAGAAGTAAATAAAAGAAAAGAAAGAGACTTACCAATCTGGGGTTTTTCTGATTCTAATTTTCAACAGACGGCGTTAAATTTCCGGAATAGAATCATTCTTCGCTTGGGTTGGTAGACTGCAAGAACTTTTAGTCCTATTCAATCCAGATTGGAAAGTGACCAAAAAAAAAAAAAAAAAAAGTCCGTTGCTTGTTTTGCAGCGAACTGTAATGAGTTTCAATATTCGAAGATTTTGCGGAGAGAAAGGGGAGAACCTCCCAATCTTCTGTACTGTATAATGCATTGAGGGGGGGAAGAGATTGAAAGACAGGAGGGAAAAAAAATGAAATTATTTTGACTATTCGATTACTTTCCCTTTATTTAAGCCATTCCGAATTATTATTCCTAAAAAGCTAATCTGTGTTAAAACACACTTACCCATTTTTGGAAGTTTACTATACTTCAGCAGTTACTGCAACTATGTTATTATAAACATTCATACATATTGCTCATAATATAAGCATAATGATCATAATAAATGCATGAATATGAACTGACCAAGCGGAACGAGAATGCAAATTATTAAAGATCTTGGATAGAAATTTCAAACGTGTGTAGTAGTATTGGGTGGAGGAAAAGAATGCCGAATGTACCGAAATTTCTACTGCTTTCGCAATTCTTTGACCAATGGAACGACGGGCACCTGTCTGTACTCTTCGTGCGCCAAAGGTTATGTTAATGCAGAGAAAGGGGAAAAGCTATTTCCGGGAGTATGATTCACCGTCTGACATTCAATTAGGAAGAAAAGTTGTTTATTTAGTTTCGGCTTTAGTAGCCGAAAAAATAGCGAGTTCATTAAAAAAAAAAAGCACCTAAAAGGAAAAAATAGCACTAAAAACGAAAAAAAATAAGGGCTAAGGGCTTTAAAGAAAGAAAAAGTAAGCACCTATAAGGGCCTTTATATTTTATTTTCAAATATAAGGACTTATAAGCACTTATAAAGACCACTACGAACCCTGAATTAATTCCACCAAGTTTAAAATTTCTTTACTGTTGAAAAAGTCTTTTGTACTACAGTTGAAGAATTTAGTGACAAAGCCGACTAACTAGTCAGTCTCATTTAACCCTTTGACTACGAATTTAAAAAAATTTACCCCGTTTTCTATCCAAGTGAACAAAATATGT